ATTTCTCCTCACCAGCCAACAGCTTGGCCCCACCAGGTTTTATGTTCTTTAGAAATATTTCCTCTTGGGATCCTGGGAACATACTTGTGCTCTCCTTTCTTCCCCACTGGCCTTTCTTGTTGCTTGTGGGTCCTTTTGAGTAAGTTGTCACTCAGATCACTTCTCTGCATAGCCCTGCTAAGGAGGTGATGAAGAGACAGGAGGATCTCTTTAGAAGTTGATAAGCATCTCCCATGCTGCGCCCGGAGCCAGGCTCAGTTGCACTGGAAGCACAGGAATCCTACAGGACTAAAGATTTTTGTCAGATGAACTCTGCTCCAGCAGAAAACTGCTATTTGAACTTTTCCTTCAGTGGAAGTGTCAAACAGTTCTGGTGACCCAGACCCAAAACAGCAGAACAGTGTTTGTCAACAGATTTTCATGCAATTTGTACATGGTTTTGCTCATTTCAGTTTACTTTTAGTTTAGAATGTTAGTTTTTTTTCTCGTGTTACAGATTTGTGAAAAGTTGTGTGAAACACAGGGAAAAAAAGAAGATTCTCCATATAGCCCAATATTGGCTAATTTTACAATCACTGAGTTCTACTTAAAATTTCTAAATCTTTTAAGCACCTCAGACTGTAAGAGTTCCCGAAGTGCCATTCTGATTTATGTAACTACATATCTGATAGAATTCATAGAAAGAGGAAAAAAGCTTTAAAGCAACTCTGCACCATGCAGTTTCTCTCTGTGAATTATTCTCCCCATATTTTTATGTAATAATGTAAATTAATTACATGGATGCCAATTTTAGCTCTGTGTTTGTCAAATGAAATTACAAAGAGATTCCCAGGAGTACACTGCATGAAAGCTTATATTTTTAGACATATTTGAGTTGATGAGAAATTACTTTTTTCCCTATTAGTTCTAATTTCACAAACAGAATCTTCTTTGTTCCTAACTAGCTGCTATAACATCTTTGAGTCTTTAATTATTACTAATTATTGACTAAAGATTTTTTATTATTTGAAAGTTGCAGCCTTTTGGTTCTAACTAATGAAAAGGATGGGGTGAAGGAAAAAGGTGAATTATTCGCTAACATTTGGTTTAATTACAATCAAGTGACCCTTTCTAAATTGGAAAGCACTTGGTGAAAAGCAGAAGACAAATGACATTTTTCTGTATAAATAATGAATAGCCCCATTTTTTAAATTTAAACACCACATTAAAAACCAAACAACCAAGGAAACAAACAAGGAAAAAAACCCACCCTACACTATCCATTCTAGAGATGTGCCATAAGATGTAGTTTTTTGTGAGCTCAGAACACATTCTGTTTGACCTTTCTGGAATTCTCTTTCAGAGCTGATGTGGCACCTGCTTGGCTTTAGGGAGTGTCATTCTATTCCACTAAAAAAAAATATGCTGAAAACTCCATAAAGGGTTTTTCCTTACAGCTTATGCCTGATTTTCTTCATGCAGTGAACAAAATAGATGAGTTATACTGCAGGACTGTGTGCAAGAACACTATTTTCAAGAAACTGTATTTTGCTTCAGAATTCAAATGTGAAGCAGTATCTCAGTCACTTAACTATGTACTTTTTAAAATCCTAGATCTTCTTATAAAGGACATATTTAAATTAAAAACCAGTTTGATGGAGCATAAGATACTCCTTCAGTGCAAAGAGCAGTTGTAAGAATCTAAAAATTTTATTAACTTTCTAAATTCTTTTCAAAATGCATCTGTCCAATTACAGGTGCTCTGCTCCTCAGCACATGTATGCACGTCCTTATCCTTGGATACTGCATGCCCTTCAAACCCTCATGGTTAAATTGCATCTTTTGCTGTAAATTCATCCAGATTTGTAAGATGAGTGTATCCGAAGTAGATGCATGGCCTGGAGTTCACATCAGCTTGCCTAAGCTTGTATTTTAAACAGTAATAGCTAGGACTTTTGGAAATACTGTCCTGAATGAATCCTGCCTCTGGAGAGGTCAGATCAGTGTGTGTGCTGCCAGGGCCAAACAGTCCCTACCCCTGCATCACTGGCAGCAGCCAGCTCTGCCCAAACACTCAGGAAGAGGCAAAGAGCAAGGACAGTGAAAGCCAAAGTGTATTGCACTGCCAGGAGACTGCATCAATCCCTGTAAATGTTACCTACAGCTGCTTTCAAACCCAGCCAGGGTAACTCACAATCCTCCATTTCTGAAGTGACCTATTTGCTAGGGAGTTTGTTCCTAATGATCTGTAACTCCAGGTATCTGTTAATTCATCTCAAATCCAAAGCATGCAGGGAGGTTTTGTGCAACTCTCTGGAGGACGCTGGCATCACACCAAATGAATGGAGCATTTACAGTGGAATAAAAGTAATCTGTGATGACTGATGTCGTGCCTCTGGCCTTCAGCTGAAACACACCTGACACTGTGAAGAAGGTCCTCCCCAAAGGCTTGGTTGTCTTGGCAATTTAAACAAATGAAGCATACTGAAAGTGTTCAGGTGGGATTATGGGAAGGTGGCTTCCAATTTGGGTTAATTTGGCACTGTGAAGAGAGAAATACTGGATTTCATCTCCTTATAAATCTGTTCAGAACAAAAAAACCCAGAACAATATTTATGTTGTTTTCTTTTTCCAAATGCCACTGTTCAGTTCTGCAAATATTCAAATAAACCAATAACAGCTTGCCAGAAGACAGGCTGCTAGGAAACACACAGTTTGTCTCCTCCTCATTATTCAAGAGTGTGCCCTGAAACATTATCTACTGCATGTAATTCAAACCATGGTCTGTTGAAGAATAATTAACTTCTTGTTCTGTCACATCCACCCATCCAAGACACCCCACTGGTGAACAGATCTCAACATTTCTGCAAACGAGAAAAGCTGGAGTGTGAAAGTGGATAAAAGACTGACACTGAAGATGGTGGCAAGCATCAGCAGTTCATGATGCCACAGTACAACTTTTTACTTTTTCTCTAGATCACACGCATAACGTGCACTCATTTTTGCATTATAATTGGCTAACAAGCTACAAGCATGTGCCTTCTACGCTTTTGTAATTGGTCATAAATTTCTCTGTTTCTTGGTGTAGATGTCAACACACATCGGCATTCCACGCTTCTTCTCCCTCAAAGCTGTTTACCTCGCTTGTTCAAGGACATAGCTGTAACTCATCAAGGCCGAGGCTGCCTGCAGCTCCATTCCTATTCTACAATTCCCCTTTTGTGCTTTTCAACCACAAATGCCATGTTTCCCATCTTCTGCAGGGCCCTTTGCAGACAAGATAGCAAAGACGGTACAAGCATCTCCTGTGTCGTTTCCAATAATTCCTGAATGCATTTGTGAATTGATTTTGATTCATCTTTTAAATTCATGCAGCACATACCATTGAAATCTTCACACACATACCCGTGGGATAATAACAAAAATCAATAGCTGCATGGTTTCGTGAAGCAGTGTAGCAAATGCTATCTACATTAGCAGCCAGTGCAGAAACCAGCTAGTGGCTGTGTGTTCCCTTACGTTCCATAAACGTCTGTCATGGTGACAGCCTACTGACGGTGTGTTCAGTGCTCTCTGCAAGCTGTGCTGTGCAGTGCAGTTTACAATGGTGGTGTATTGGGCATTACCACACCTGACCAATGGTGCAAGGCCCCTCTACTGTTCTACAGCGGATTCTTGGCCATACACTGTCCCTACAAAGTAAAACTAGATCTTTATGCAGTGCTCTGGATTTTGCCAAGCCATATGCTGGCTTGCTTTGATCTCTACCTAACTGCTGACACCAAGCAGTGTGATTTTGATGAATCAAACTGCTGGGTGTAATATTTCAGTTTTTGGTGCCACTTTGTTTGGTTTAGTGCATGCAATAGGGTCACCCAAACATTCTCGCTATTCCAGAGAGCCAGGTGAGCCACAGCAAGGTCTGTTGCTCCGAGGGGTGTTATCCAACACAGGCCAAACACAACAAGCAGGCACTCAATGAACTACTGGCATTTGTGGAGAAACACAAATATCCACGTCCCCAGGTAACAAGATCCCGTGTTTGCAAATTGTGAACCCAGACTGGAGCAGGGTCTGTCACTTGGTGACTGTACAACAAAAACATTTTTATGAGAAATGAGAAATAAGAGGGAGGTGGGGGAAGGCTCTGTACAGCTCCCACTGTTTGCCTTGTCCGAGCTGCTGTCCTGGCTGCCTCCCCTTAGAGGCTCTGATGGCACTGCCCTGACCACCGGCGAGCTAAAACACAGAACTGTTCTATGACAGGACACACACTTGCTTAGTTACCTGAAAAGCTCAGACATTTCAACTCACATAATACCTGGACCTTGGAACAGACACATTCCCAGCAGCCCTTCTCCCTCTCAGGGGAGAAAACAGTCATGAACAAGCAGTAAGTGAACATGGGGAAAATTCATCATTAAATGCAAAAACCCTGACCTTTACATTGGCAGAAACATGATCAGAAAAATTCAAATTCCCAAGACCCCGGCCCCCATGAGCTTGTGAACTACATGAGCCCAAATGAGGAATACTATACAAATAAGAGTAAGGACACAAAGATAAACCAAAGTTGGAGCGACTCTGCAGTTCAAATTCCTGATCTCAAATACAGACTTCAGTCCAGTTCTGAAGGAGATACTTCAACGTGAACAACTGTGTAGGAAATCATCCTACCTGAATCTGGATTTCGTCAGACAGTTCCCTTGCCATGTTGTAGAACTGGTTGGCTGCAGCATCAAGAACCTTCACGACGACTTTGAGGCCTGTTCTTCCCTTTACTCTGCCATAAACATCCACTGCAAAGTTGTAGTTTGCAGGAAGCTGAAAAGCAGCCTTGGACAGGAGAAAGGGATTCAAGTTTGGCTCATGGAAAGCACAGACACTGGCACCGAGGTGCTGACCACTGATCCTGGCTTTTGAGGCAGTGGAGGCAGCAACATTCCCTGCATTGCCCTGAAGTGGCCGTTTCCTTTTCCCAAGCTGCACACACACGCACTACACACACACACACACTTTACCTCACTGTGCCTTGTCCTGACATCCAGGGTGTCCCTCCTGCTGACAGACCAGTGGAACGTTAACCCCGGCACAGCACTGCCGAAGGAGAAAGGAGTCTGAGTGCTGGTGATGCCCATGACATAAACTGGCATCTGGAAAGAGAGAAACCAGCCTGCTTAGGTAATGCCAGCATGCAAACCAAACACCTGCCCACAGCAAAGAGAATTAAACTTAAAATTTAAGTCTGATCACTGATCAAGGGATGGGGTCTCTTGTGAAGAAAATGGTTTGGCTGCTGCTTATGCTACAAGGATGCATCACACAGAAGAGTCAACCCCCAACTTGTCAAAAGTCAACTGTGATTCCTTCTGATTTGGTACATGCTCTACAAACACCCAACACAAGGATTTGAATGGTTTTATTTTTAATCTTCAAAACAATTCATTCACCTGGGATCAGTGAGCTGGAATGGCTGCCCCCTCCATCAGCTCACAACCACGAGGGAATGTGCAGTTGTAACTGGTCCCATTTTCCTCAGCACTCTGTCTGCTGCCACTGGTGAGCATCCTCCTGGTAACTGTGATCAGGTACAGGAACCAGGAGAGAAATCTGTGCCACTTGACCAAAAAGCAGAGATTGGCAGAGATTATCCTTCCATAGTTCTGCCTCAGAGACTCACAGCAGGCCTGGGGTTGACTTTAATGATTAGAGAGAGGCATTTCAGCAATGGCAATATCTGTATTTCTGGACAGAACAGACATGCTGGAGATTGTCAGCATACAAAGGACGGAAGCCTCCACTGCAAACAGAAGATGAGAGAACACTTCTCCAGACTGAAGGATGCTGCTTCAGTAGGGCTTGAATCTCCAGAGATCTGGCACAGATGGTAAACTAGTTTTGAATTCTGATTTAGTATTACAGAATCACAAATGGACTGGATTGGAAGGACCTTAAAGTTCACCTCCTTTTCCTCCCCACTGCTTTGGGGGCATTCCTTCTGACCCAGCAGCTCTGTGCTCACAGCCTCCAGCTGTGTGGAGGACCTGTGGGCTTGTTGGGTTGTGCCAGCAGGATTGCTGTTCCTGCTGCACAGAAATCAAAGGTCTGCCTTAAAAACCACCCAAACAATTTTCGTGGGACATGGATTTAGAGAGGGGACAGTGACTGACCCCTGGCCTGCTCCAAACTGGCAGACTGACTCCACTTGGCTTCAAACAATCAACTGTGTTGCAAATAAAGCCAGTGCACGCATTGGACAATTAGAACTTTCAATACATATTTAATCTTCTACTCGTACATCCCTTCAGAATACAAAGTGTGACTCTTGAGATGCAGTGGTGAATCCTCATGATGGAGGTCTCTCCTTGTGGTGACCCTGAAAGCAAGCAGATGGAACCTTTCCAACACAGCCTGTGTGTTAGAAACTTGGCACTGTTTATTGCAGTGCTGGTCACTCAGAGGACTCCTCCTCTAATCAAGTGCCCTGAGCTGTCGTTTTTGAGGCGGTCGCGACACAAAGCAGTCTCAGATGGTAACTCTTTATTATTGAAGATGGTTGACCTTTTATACACTTTACAATTCTTTATACTTCTTCTACCCTAACTATTGGCCACAATAAGTCAACGTAACACTATTGGTGAAAAGTAACAGTGACTTCAGCTAACTTTCTAAAAATACTTTGTCTAGCTGCAAAATTCCCTCTTTATTTTTCTTCAATTCGTCTCTTCTCTTAATCTCTTTAGTAACAGCCTTAGAGAAAGCCCCTTATAAGGTTCTTCTTATTTCTCAACTTCTTCTCACTCCTTAGCTAACAGGCCCGCTGTTAGCCCCTTCGACACTGTGTGTTGGGTAAAGAGTTTTTATCACAAACAGAATTCACAGAATCACAAGGTTGGAAGAGACCTTCAAGATCATTGAGTCCAACCCATGCCCCAAACACCTCAACTAGACCATGGCACCGAGTGCCACATCCAGTTTTTTAATACACATCCACCACCATCCCTGGGCAGGCCATTCTAGAACTTTATTACTCTTTCTGTGAAAAACCTTTTCCTAACATCCAACCAATATTTCCCTTGGTGCTGCTTGAGACTCTGTCCACTCATTCTGTCAGTGCTGCCTGGAGAAAGAGCCCAACCCCACCTGAGCACAACCACCTTTCAGGAAGTTGTAGAATGATTAGGTCACCTCTGAGTCTCCTTTTCTCCAGGCTGAACAACCTCAGCTCCCACACACGGAATACATATTCATTAGCACTAGCTGCTTGTTTGATGTATATGTATTACTTTATTTTATTTATATTATAGTCATACCCCTTATTGAAAGTTCTCATGTGGTTCTTTGGGGTCTGTCTTCAACATCCTTTTAGGGGGCTGTTCCTCGACTCCCACTTTTGAATAAGCACATTATCATTGTTTTGCATATACTTCTGCTTGGTCAGCCTTGCAGACTAAGCTTGTGTTCTGCCTGACTTCTGTTTGACTCAGTTACACCTTCCTCTATTTCTCCAAAGCTATGGTGTTCTGTTCTACTGTCCTTTTCAGAGAGAAATGCTGGTTTGTTCTGCTGTCCTTGTCAGTGGATATCATTTAGATGCCATGAATTAAATCAACGATGGCATCACAGCGAAGCACTTCTCCAGTCACTTGAAGAGACATCAGAAAGAGCACAAGAAAGCACAACACTGGATGTGCTCATCAAGAACAATGATAAGTCAAGATGTACCTCAAATTTAGCCAGTGACACAAGGCACTGACACTGAAGGAACTGAAACTTGGTCATGACCTTCATGAAGAAACTCATGGTCAAACAGTGGCTCAGAAAGCAAGAAAAACAGTTCCTTTCCTCACTGAACTGCAGAATAAATCTGCAGAAACTCTGATCTCTATTTACACTGACAGGTACAGGTGTTGTCTGGGAGTGCTTATGCAGAGTTGCTACAGTGCTCTCATGTCCCAGAGAAATTAATGGCTTTTACCCACAGACAATAAACACCCATAAACTCCTTCAGTTAGTGACTGCACGGCATTTAATTTGCCATCCGGCTTTGCCTCTCTGTTACTATAAAAACCAACCAGGTATATTGTATGACAGACACTGTCATACAAAAAGGCGCTTTGCATCTTTTGAAATGTAAAGCATCTGAATTTGCTTTCATAATTTTCAGTCCATACTTTTTATATTTCAGCCACCCCCTCTATTTTTACTTTTAATTTTTTTTCTTTTTGTTAAGAATTACCCTTTCCCTGAATGTATCATTGTTGTGGTTAAAAAACAGGTAGAAATTAAGCTCTATGGAGCTGCTCCTATTTCCCTAACCCATCAGGGGAGACTGAATCAAACAACCTCCCCTTAAACCCATGGAGCAGGCTGTGGCATTGCAGTGTGGATTTTATAGAGGTGAATAATTCTAACTGGAGCAGTAGGAAAGACCAGGCAGTATTTAACTCACTTTGACATTAATCTCTTCATAAGAAAAAAAAAAAAAAAAATTAAACTGGAGAGAGCAACAAATACTCTCCTGAATTTTACTGATTAGAATGGAAGACTGTGGAAGCAAAAATGGAAGCCTGGAACACTCAGCAGGTGAGCAGGCAGGGAGATGAATTGCTTGCACCTGTTATTTTGGTGACTTTTTGGTACTGAGAGAAGTAAGAAAAGTCTCTGCTCCCTGCTGCTGCTTTAAATCACCTCACACCCTGAATCAAGATGGTATAAACGAACTTTTATGCAGCACTAACACAAGAAGGTGTTAGAAGGTGTAATCAGGGTTCCTAAATGAGAAGGACGGTAATTGCTGGTCATTGGCATCCTTCAGCTGATGAGCAGCCTACTAACCTGAGCAGTGAGAGAGGTTTTGTACTGCTGTGTGACCAGAACCTCTTTGTCAAAATATCTTCCTGTGGAATAAAAACAACAAATGAGCTGCTCCTTACACATTAAGAGGAGTTTTCCTGAGATGCTTGAAAAACATGTTTTTCTTTTGTTTTGATTGCATTTATTAGTCATATGGAAGATGGTGAGGAAAACAGAAGGGATCAGTTTTAGCTGAAATTTATGAAGGATCCCTGGCTGTCAAGCTTTCTAAAAAGCAAGTATTTCTTGATACCACCTCTACTATTTTATATATAAATATATGCATATCTCATGGTTCTTCACCAGTAGGAATTTTTATTGCAATACAACTATGAAATGTTATCTTGTTCTCAGGAAAATAAACACAAATCACATGTGGGAGTGTGATGCAGCAATACGTGTCACAGCCAGATTGTGGGTGGTTTCTGACAGCTCCTCTGGCCACACACCAGAACACCCCAGAGTCCTGCTGTAGCTACTCAGAGCTGTGGGCTCCTTGGCACTTCCTATTCTTGCTGCTGGGTTTTACCTTCGCTTCACAGATCCCTGGCTTCCTGGAGAGTGTCCTGGGCACAAAGCAGAGCAAGCACTATGGCAGAATCCTGTCTCTGCCCTCTAATTTCTGTGACCATTACATCTACTTCTGAATCAATAGTAATAAAGTCAATAAATAAAGCCAGTTATCTGATAATCTGTGCCTGAATTGTGCCATCATAGTTAAGAATAAGTAAAAAGTCCCATCTGGTTATCACAAGACATCCCTATCTAAACTTGTGAACACCTCATGGCACCAGTGAGGAATTTTAGCTGAAGGCCTTTGAAGAAGGTTCTAAATAGTTCTGAGCTTGGAATAACTCCAGGTTCTTTCTCAGCTGTGCTCAGGTGAACACCGAGACTGAAATTCTGCCAGGACATCTCTGGAGGCATTGTTAGAGTGCAATTTATGAATCTAAAACTAGCACAGAAACAAGAAAATAGTGAAAAGCAGTAATGGATTTGGAAACACGCTGAGTATGTTTTGTGTCATGTTGGTTCCCCCCACGGGCCACACCTCATTTCTTGAGCCCTGGGCCTCTCTTGGGGCAGCAGAGGTGTTCCAAGTCATTGCAAGTGATGATCGTGCTGCTGGTAGCAGAAAGTCCCTGCTCCTGGTTATCAATATCAATATCAGGCTGCATGAGGCCCTGAGCAAGCTGATCTAGTGACTGACATCCCAGTCCGTGGCAGGGGGTTGGAACGAGGTGACCTTTAAGGTCCCTTCCAACCCAAACTGGTCTGGGATTCTGTGATATCTTTAGGACATAAAACTGCTTTTCCCTCCCCAGCCCTACTTCCATCAAGTCCAATACCTGTGAAGCAATGGTAAATGGGAAAGGTGCAGGAGGCCATCAGAAACAAAAATGTCCTGAAATATGAGATTTATTGTCTTCCTGGTAGTCTAAGTATACTTTTAACCATTTTCCCAGTGTTTATTACACTTTTCCCATCAGCTGAGTTAATGTGTTTCTTTTGAATATACTTGGAAAAGGTCAGCCAGAAATATGCATTGCACTTCACCGCTTGCATATTATAAACAGACTAAGTATCATTCAGATTATCAAAGCACTTAAAGATCAGAACAGGTTAGATATGTCAAAAAGAGCAGATGTTTACAGAGCAGGAGAGTAAATCAAGCCTCTTGGCTTCCTCCACTGGCCATCAGCTCAAGGCACTGAGCGGAGTCCCTCCAGTGAATCTGAAATGGACATTTAAAGACTATTTTGGAGAAACCCTTGCTGGGGTTTGTATCATCTGAATTCTGTTGCAATAGCCCACATCTCTCATCTTGAAAATTGCAGAGCACTAAAGGCACAGAGCAGCTGTTTGTGGATCATACCAAATTGTTAAGAAGTGAGGATTTCAGTTAGGTGTAATTCAGAGAGGGAGACGGCCTTAGGCTAATTAGAGTGAAGATAACACTGTAAGGAAAATAATCTTATCTTTAAGGAATATTCAGGCCTTACATTTCCAGTGGCTCTGAGAAAGGGAAGAAAGCTGTATCAGTTTCTGAGCTATAAAAAGCACAGACCTTTTTCTGTTGTGCTGGATTACAGGAATCAGTAATTTCATATTTTCAACACATCACCAAAGAAAATGCCTGATCTCAGGCATGTCACACCATGGCAGATCAAAGGCCCCAGGATCAAAGAGATTAAAGTAGCATGGTCTCTCAAAATATTATTTCCTGTTTGAAAAACACCAATTATATTACTGTAGAAATTCATGTAATGAGTTACTATTCAATTTTTTTAATAGGAAAATCAAGTCTCAGTGTAAATTTTAGCAATCCCTTTTCTATATGTTTCTTAACAAGTGTTTCATTCCTGATTTTCTCAACAAATGTCTAGATGTTACCTGCTTCAAAAGCCTCAACTCAAAGAGGTTTGAAAGCAAACTATTAGTGACACTGCTTTTATGTCAGTCTCGAAGGTGCCTTGCCCTTTAATGATGCATAATTAGCATCTCACAGCCGAACCAAAGGGAGCTGATTCACACTCTGCGGAGGACAGGCTGTCCTGACAGGAGAGGAGAGAGATGCTTTGGAAGTAGCTCAGCTGCCTCCGTGCAGTGGAGGAGAGCTGCACATGTCAGGCCTGGTCAGATCCACCGGGGTTATCCCAGCTCCTGCAGGATTTCAGCTCCAGGCACTAAGTGGGAATTTTCAAGGAAGTAATACTGTGAGTTTGCATCAACTCTCAATTTGGCATCACACTGCTTCATCTGTAGGAGGTAACCCAGAGGTTATGTCAGTGATCCAGAGTCCCAACTTTCTTTGTGGCATGAATTTGCTAGCACTGACTTTAGCCATAATTTCACTGTTTCTTGATAGGGAAAATCCCTTATCCTGTTTCACCATTCATCATGTTCAAGTTCACAGAACTTCACAACTTCTTGCAGTGGGCCCTTAGGACAAGAAAGACCTCAAGGGGCTGGAGTGTGTCCAGAGAAGGGAACGGCGCTGTGGAAGGGTTTTGGGGTACCAGGAGCAGCTGAGGGAGCTGGGAAGGGGCTCAGCCTGGAGAAAAGGAGGTTCAGGGGGCACCTTGTGGCTCTGCACAGCTCCTGACAGGAGGGGACAGCCGGGGGGGGGGTCAGACTCTGCTCCAGGGAACAGGGACAGGAGGAGAGGGAACGGCCTCAGGCTGTGCAGGGGAAAGTCCAGAATGGATATTAGGAAGAATTTCCTCATGGAAAGAGTCGTCAAGCACTGGGCTGCCCAGGGGAGTGGTGGAGTCCCCATGCCTGGAAGTGCTCCGAAACAATTTAAGACATCCAAGAGACATGGAAACTAGTCCATCAGTGGATTTTTAATTTAAGTAAGAGTATAAATGAAAATAAGAACATAGTAGAAATTAAGCCCCTTGAAGATCTTAAAACATTAACGAACTGTTTGTAGCTTGTTAACCAAATACTCAAACTCTAATTAAGTCCCAAGTAGTCAGGAACAAGGAAGAAAAGGTAAATGTGCTGGAGGAATACTGTGTGAGCACACAAAGGACCAGAACAAAAGAAATGTTAATTAAAAGATAATGTCAAAGCGATAGAATGTTTTTGTGGTGTTACGGTCTCCTGCTGCTAAATAAATACCAAGGTGAAGCCCAGGCATCCATCAAAACTGAATGCCAAGCCAAAGCCAACATATTTTAAGAAAAAAGACATTTATCAGGTACTCTTATAAAGCGATATTACTCCTCCAGTGAAAAGAGTGCTTCTGGGCATTCATCCTGGGATTCATAGATACTGCTCCTATTGATGGACTGTTTTTCATCATATTATTGATTTAGCTATACAACTGTGTAAAAACGCTTGTTATATATATTCAAGCAGGGTTAGTTAACTATGCTTAGAAATGGGGTTTTGACTTCAAACTCTTTTCTTGTGTGCCTGAATTCAGTGGTGTTGTCCGTGGGGTGAATCCTGACCTGTCAAAATCATTAACAGTTCTGTGTGGCAAGCACATTTCTCTCCCTCTCAGGATTTTTCATAGACGTACACAGAGAAAAATGAAAGAGAAAACAATTTGTATTTCTGCTCCTTGTTTTTCCTATGTGGAACGTGTTTGGAGAAGTGTTTACCTGGAATCAATACTTGATTGGATTCTGGTGAGGATTGTTTGAGCCTGGTGGCCAATCCAATCCAATGCAATCCACTTGTCTTTGGACTCTCAGAGAGGGTCATGAGTTGTGTTAAGAGTTAGAGTTAAGAGTTAGAGAAAGGAGTATGTAGTTTTAGCATCCTCCTTTTATATAGCATATTAATGTATTTTAACCATAGTTATAATAAAGAAATCATTCAGCCTTCTGAATTGAGTCAGACATCGTCATTTCTTCCCACTGGGTTTGTCTGCATTTACAACAGCTCCACTGCTGTTAGGTAGGATCACTGTTTCACCTTTGCTTTCCTCACTGTGCTGTAGACCTATTAGCACCTACCGGTACAAGCTGTTAATTTTATTTTACAGAGAGGACGGTATTTTCCTACCCAAAGACACCGTTAGTGCGGGATCGCCTTGAGGCCGTCGCGTTTCCCAGGTCCGGCACCTCCCCGCTGCCTTCACAAGCGCCGCCGGCAGTGCACGGCGCGGCCCAGGGCGCAGAGCCGCCGGCCCCACGTACGAGCCAGGGCTGGGGCGCTTCAGCGCGGCCCCGCCGAGCCGCCGTGTGCCCGCCCGAGCCGCCGTGTGCCCGCCCGAGCCGCCGTGTGCCCGCCCCGAACCGCCGTGTGCCCGCCCCGAGCCGCCCCGGGCCGCCGTGTGCCCGCCCGGACCGCCGTGTGCCCGCCCGAACCGCCGTGCGCCCGCCCCAAGCCGCCCCGGGCCGCCGTGTCCCCGCCCGAACCGCCGTGTGCCCGCCCCGCGCCGGGCGGTGCCGCGGCCGCGGCCGCCCCTTCCCTGCGCGGCCCGGCGGAGGCGGGGATGTGAGTACGGGCAGGGGGCGGCCGCGGGGCCCGGGGATAGCGGCGGCAGGGCTCGGCCTGCACGGCCCAGCCTCGGGGCCACCGAGCCGCAGGGCCGGGCTGGGGCTGCGGCGGCGCCCGGAGCCCCCGCGGGCCCGGCCTGACGCGGCCCGGCCGAGCCCCGCCCCGGCGGGAGGAGTCCCTGGAGCGGGGAGTCCCGCCGGGAACGCGGAGTCCCTGGAGCGGGGTGTCCCGCCGCGAGCACCCCGGGCTCCGCAGGAATGCTGCTGCTTCCCAGCCGAGGCTCCGGGCCCCGCTGTCCCAGCACCTTCCCCAGAATCCGCCTTGTATCGCGGGGAGGGCCGCGGGAAGGCTCTGGGAGCCCTGGCTCTCAGTGTGGGCGGTGTGCAGGCACCGGGCTGCGGGTTCTGGGGAAAAACCTCCATTGTACTCGTGTTTCCTTTGGCTTGCTTCTAACAGGGTTTTCAAAGGATGTTTTTGAACGTGTTCAGGCTGGAAATAAGGGTGTTTCTGTTTGTATTGTTCACCTGACAAAAAGACACTTGTGTCTTGCACAGTATGTGGCATAGCCTTTTCCATACTTGGCATTTCGGGGAGCAGGAGAGGCCTCGGCATCTGTTCTCTCCAGTGGCGAGAGTTTGGGGCACAGAAGGCAACCAGCAGGTGGTGGAGTAGGCTAAGTGTGAACACAGAATCCCATCTCAGCCTTGGTTTGTCCTCCTGACCCACGGGTGCACACTGGTGTCCATAGACAATTGGCGTTTGTGTTTGTAAACACAGAGCATTTAATAAATATTGCTGGATTTGTGAATAGCTTGTGAAGGAGGGCTGTGAGCTGGCTGTGATGTGTTTCCTGGTATTGGGAAAATAAAATGATTTGGAGGGGTAGGCTAAGGAAAATATTGGTTAAGGGTTACAGGCGTGGCATCTGGTTCTGTCCTCTGCAAATAAAAACCTAAGGCTTATTAGGTTGCTCAGGTGGTCACAAAATAGTTTGTTGCTTTCTAGGAAGGGAGCATAGAAATCTTTCCAAGCTTCTGTTGTTAGAAGCATCATGGTTTGTGTTTTGATACAGAAATTAAAATAGTAGTCTAGTCTTGGTGCACCTTTGAAGGTAGAGGTGTTGATTGACACACCTGGAAAGACAAGGGGAGAGAACCAAATGTTGCCATTTTTCTGTTGGAATTACCATATTTTGAATTACCAAGTCGGTATTAGGGCTAATTTGTAACTGGAGCCTTCAGTGTCAAACTGGTAGATGGGTTTTGAAGTGGTGACTGGTGTGTGTTTGCTTGCCAAGGCCTCACAGGACGGAGCTGTACGAGGATCCCCCGTTGGGATGCTGGCCCATTGTGTATTCCCCAGACTACAACATCACCTTCATGGGACTTGAGAAGCTGCACCCCTTTGATGCAGGGAAATGGGGGAAAGTCATCAATTTTTTGAAAGGTAAAAACGTAACAAGGTGCCTTTTGAATCAACATTTGCACAAAATCTAAAGAAAATTACGTGGTTAGTACAGACTTGTGTTGGGCTTGAATTGCAGTGTGTGGCTTCCTATAGCCTTGTGCTTCCTGCCTTTACACCTGGTGTAGCAGGAGCTGGGGCATTCCTGTGGCTGGTGAAACACCAGGTGTTAATGATGATGTAACTTACTCAAGCTGGACTGCACACAGAGCTCCTCAGGCTGAGGGAGAAGTGCAGCTGTAGCACTTTATCCTTTCTTTAGCAGCCTCATCCTATTGCTCTGATAATGTTTAGAAAGAGCTTTGAGGCCTTTCTGGTACAGGCACAGCTTTTTATGATGCTTTTAATTATTGCTGTTTAAACCATTTGTAGGATACAGGTAGAAATGCATTAATTTGTAGAGTACAGGTAGAAATGCATTAAGGAGATGAAAAGGTAAGAACCAGGGGCAGAATCAGGGCCTGTGAAATCTTGGCATCTCTTCATTTAAAACTTGCTCATCGAGGGTAAAAAAAAAAAAGAGGCTTTTTCTCTTGCCAGGACAAAGGCTGTTGGTTGTCCCAAAGCCAGACCTCTTTTTCTGTGGTCCTAATGACTCCTTCAGCTGATGATCCTTTGCAGTTCAGGATTGCCCTTCCCACTGCAGGCTGACTTGTATTCTTTTAACTGAGGTGAAATAATTTTAACACTCTAATAACTTAGTAGCTGAGTTTTGGCTTTTTCCTCTACCAACCTTAAATAATTTAGTGCTGTGTTCCACAACAGTTTTCTTAATTGATCAGAACTTTTGCCTTTCTGTTTCTTCTGTGTAAAGCCTTTTCCTCCAGCTCTTTTTCTGTGACACGTCTATTGTCAAGTGTCTCAAGCTTTCACAGAAAACCAGTTTTCCCAATTGTTTCACTGTCCTTTGAAAGGAGGAAGAAGCCCCAGGATGCCCCAGAGCACTTGGTTTGCTGTGGCTGTGTAGCAATTCCTGGCAACAGCTGACCCTCCCCTGTGCCTTACCACTGAGCAGATCAGCAGCGAGCATCTTTGCAGAGTCCCTTCCTCCTGGAGAAGGAAGCTGGCAGCAGTTTGGCTCTGTTTGACACCACTGCATGAATGAATTGTTCCTCAAGCCTCAGTCAGGAGAAACAGAAGCTGGCCAAAACAAATGTTGTCGCAGGTGCTGTTCTTGTATAACACTTCAGAGCAAAATCTCTCACTTTTCAGAGTTGTTTTCTTTCTCCTCCAAGTATAAAATTAAATAAGAGTTACAGGCTTTGGAGGCTACAACTGTGCAGCAATTAAATATCAAAATTTGCCTGGGAAGATTGCTGGGATTCCTTATAGTTGTTGTTTGTAGTGATCATGTGCGCTCATTCTGAATTCTTGGAGGAACTTGCTCTTATGAAACTAAGTTTTAAAATAATCTTTCAGTCTCTAAGGATAAGAATTAGTAGCTGCTCTTTGTTTTTCCTTGAAATTAGACTGAGGTAGGGGGTAATAGAAATATCCTAATTAAGCTTATTTGCTTCTGTGAACATCCAAGCCATTACTTTGTTTTGAATTTTGATTTATTACTTTATTCTTCTGTGATTTAGGGGATTAAATCCTAGTATAAAGTGTGGGATTTCTTAAAGCATATTAAAATAATGGTGGCTATTTGATGGTGCAAGCACCAAGATTTCCCCAGTACACCAAGCCCTAAACTGTGAGGAGTTGTGTAATTCCAGTGTCTCTTCATCCTCTGTCCGTTCAGAGAAGAACTTCCCATGATCTTAGCACACTCTGAAAACTTCTGAACACTATTTCTCAAAGACATACCACCTGAACAGCTTACCTGTGACACAGCGGGTGTGTTTGGAAAACTTGCAAACTCTGAGCAACCTAAAGTCATTCCAGCAGTAAATATTACAGAGGAAGTTACCACACCGAGGTCAGAGCAGAGTGTTTGGAGGGGGGACACGGGGAGCTAAGCAGTGCTGTACAATGCCAATTTTTATTTCTCTCCTGTTGCAGAAGAAAAACTAATTGCAGATGACTTGATTGTGCAGGCACGGGAGGCTACTGATGAAGATCTCTTGGTTGTTCACACCAGGCGCTACCTTAATAAATTAAAGGTGCTGTATCTGTTCATATGTTTTTTCTGAAAACAGTCCAGAGTGAGTGTCAGGGGCAGTGGATGTCTTGTACAGTTATTTTAAATCACCCTTACAGGTATAGAATGGTATCTGTTGATCACACTGATTACATTGTTACTGAGAATACTGAAAGAAAACCACAAAAATATTGGGCATTTCACACTACAGAGGGGTAAAAGAGGGTAAATAAAGAGTGTCTACTATATTAAATAGGTGACCTGAAAGGATATTTCAGGGAAATTAAACATAGACAAAATTAGAATGTCTGAGATGTCAATAATATTCTTGTTAGTGCCAGGGTTTTAGTGTTGAGCAGAGCAAGTTTTGTTGTACTGTGATAAAATACAGTTCTGCAATTGAAAATACAATAGAAACCACTAACATGGGGGTACTTTGTTGGATGTTTTCCAATGCAGGGATTACTTTATGGCGTTTGGGGTTATGTGATCTTGACAGAGCATGTGTGTAGGGGTTCTGTGGTCAGTCTGTTGGGGGGGAAGTACCGGCTTCATTGTCAGACACTGCTTGGATCCGTGGAATATGGAGAGAGTCAAAAGTTTGGTGTAAGGACATAACCAAGCACATTCCCTGTTGTGAAGGTTTCCAGAGCCAGCTCACACAGGACCACGGGGGGTGAAGAACATTCCGTGTATATTTCTAAAGGAAACGTCCATTTGTTTAACTTTGATGTAACTCTAAAGCATAAACATGTGAGATTTCTAGTTCTGAATCTATCCAGTCATCTGTGGGTGGAATTGGGTAGTAGATGAGTGCAGGTGACATTACTTTTACTTGGCAACTCTGCTTTTCTGTAAGAAAAAAGAATCTTCCATTTCGTCATTCAAAAGAAGTTATTTTGAGTTACCCATGCCCTTCCACAGTGGAGGAGTCCTTGGATTGCTATTTCTGGAATGTTTTATTTTTCTGTATAAGTGATCTGTTATTTTTGTGAACTTTTTCACTCTTAACTGCTTTTCTGAGTTCTCTTATGCTTCTTCATTCTGTGCTATGAAGTTACATGCAATTTCATGCATCATTAGATTTGATATTATTGCAGCTATTCTTGATATTGAAGTTTTATTCCTTAGAACCACCCACCTCTTTTTACTGGATCACTTCTTTGAAGCAGGGTTGAATGTGCATAGCTCAGATTGGAGTGCCATAATATTTTTAGTACCTATGGGATGGCTTCACTTGTATAACTTGTGCCTTGTGGTGAAGACCAGCACTGTTGTGTGTATCCAGATGGGATTAACTGGGTGTCTCCTCTCTCCCTTTTCTTGAGAGAATATTTCCTGCAAGTGTAGGAACTGGAAGATGTTGTATTGGTCACCCTAGCAGATTCCTCCCAAGCAGCAAAGATAAAAGTGCTTAGCTGCAAAAGCAAAATAACATCCTAGACATGAAAAAGCCCTGTGAAAGCTCTTTATTGCCTCATCCAAAGTCTACTGTGCTATTTTTCTTTTAAATCCAGACAAATAGGTATAAATGGTATAGTTTTATATTAGATCAGCTGGAAAGATTACAAAGTTGCTTGCCTTTCTCAGAATGGCCAGGTCTCCTAAAATAATGGATCACTTGAATGTTCATTTAAAATCTGAACATGAATTTGGTAGGAAATTGCCTACACTTGCAAGAGAAGGTGGTGATTGGTGTCTTAGCAGCAGCTGAAAGGCCATCTGAGCCTTGGCAGAAGAGAAACAAAAAGGTGTGCACAAGGTACTTCTGCTGCTGGAAATTAGGTCTGTATTGGCAGGAAGGGTCCCCCTGTTTCCCTTCTCAGTTCTCACAACAAAGTCTGGCCTTTTGAATTGAGGTGATTCCCCCTCAGTTATTCCTCTGAAGAATTTAGATCTCTGAGGTAATGACTGGACTGTGGGTAGTTTGTTTGCAGTATTTTTCCACTTGCTATCTTTTTCTAGTGTTATGTAAAATAATGAATTTCTTGCGTGTCAGCATTCTGACCTTTGGGAAGAAGGTAGGCAATGAGGTCAGAGCCAGTTTCTGACTGTGCTTTTCCCTTTTTATTTATGAGAAGTTCTATGGTAACAAATGTGAACAAACACTGAAATGGAAATGCTGAGGATAAAGCTAGTCTGGGAACTTGTTGTGGGGAATGCTGGAAAACAAAACCAGCACACTGAAGAAAAAAAGCATAAAACATTCCACAGATTTTCAGTCACTAAGTGGAGAAGCATTTCCCTTCACCTGTAGCTGCCCTCTTGAACCCCCAGACTTTGTTCCCAGTTGGTGACTCTCCCCATCTCTTGGAAATTGCTAATCCCAGTTCAGGCCCAGATGTGGGCAGTGAGTGGCAACAGGAGTGGCCCCAGCTGTGACCAGTGAGCCTGGGAGCCAAAACTCCCAGCACAGCTGGACTTCTCACCTTCCCTTAAAAACCTGCAGCTGCATAATTGTTGGTTTGTGTCATGATTGCTCCCACTTCTCCCTGTTGACTTTAATCTTATTTTAGACTTTGTTAAAACTTTGTGATTATCATTCACATTTGAGTCAAATTCATTTTTTATCCAAATGTGATCTTTTCATTTCCATTTTAGAACAACAGGATTGAATATAGTTTTTAATAATGTGTTTGTTCAAAAGCTAAAATGTCTTGCAAAGGGGCTTTATCAAGATTGACTACTAAAAAATAATTAAAGCATCTTATGATGGACAGCTGATAAGATGGTAACAGAATAAAGTCTTGCAAATATAAAAGTAGAGAGATTTTGAAATTAACTGTTGGCAAAATATAGTTAGGGCTAAGGCACTTCATGAACAATGCCACCTCTTCACCTACCCAGTAGTACCTGATAATTGAAATATTGCTAACTGGAAAGTTATTTTGAGCATCAGAGGACCCTGAGATGAGGATGTGATTGCCTTGGTTCAAATTGCCCACCTGTACATGCTGCCAGCTGTGATCAGCTCAGGAGTGGGGCAGCCAGTGCCCTCAGTCTCATTACAGTTCCTAATGTTGCAGAAAATAGGATCTGTTCAGACTCTTTGTACATTGTGGCAAGTCCCTCAGTGTTTCAGTACTGGTTGGACAGGTATATTCTTGCTTGTGACTTAGGCTTTGAAATATATTTAGCAGTGTTATCACTGGTAGCAGTGTTAGTGGAAGTTCTTTGAAGTAATCAATGTGTTTGCAAAAAAAAAGCATTTGCATATTACAAATATTTTGTGTTCTAACCTTGAAGACTTTTGAACAAAATGTTTCCTTGAAACGTTTTCCAGAAGTGTTTAATATGCTAAATAAATTTTAATCAGTTCTCTATGCTAAAGTTTGTACTGTGTGTTCACTTAAGTGTTTGAAATTCTTAGTTCAATTATCTGTTTGTTTGTGTTTGCTTCTCCTTGATACATCCTTTTGATTCCACACAGGAATAGCTATTTCAGGTTTGAACAGTATATCAAATGTAGATGAAGGGCATTTTACAATTCTTCCTCTCAATTTGAGGGATGTTATATTTTCTGCAATACTACCTTCCTGAAAAATTGCTGATTTAATACAGTTTGATACTAAAATCTGGAAAGTGAATATTCTCATAGTTAAAAACTTGAGGATGGACCTGCTTAGAGGTCACTAATAAGAACTGGTGTGTTCACTTTCATCGAAAAATACTAAAACTCTTCCTAAGGACCTGTGAGCACCTTTTCAGTATATAACAACTAATGAAAGAGCTAAGTGTCATCATCATCAATCCACAATACCTTAATTGGAACTCTCTTTTTCCCCTTTGCAGTGGTCATTTGTTGTGGCTACAATCACAGAAATTCCACCAGTTGCCTTTCTTCCCAATTTCATTGTTCAGAGAAAAGTTCTGAAACCTCTACGAACCCAGACAGGAGGAACAATAATGGTAAGGTGCTCTTGATCCACTTTTATCATGTTTAAATTTGCTCATTAAACACTGTAAATCTGTTGTGGTGTTTATATAGCTGAGATTGTCAGCCTTGGACAGTGCTGCCATGCCAGATACAGGAGCAGGGGTTACTGCAGCTCCTAGATGTCAAAGGTGAGTTAGGCTGGGAAATACGAAAGTTAAACCAACTTTTTAAAGGACTGTTTAAGGATTTGAATTCTGAAAGAACAAGCTGGGTTCTGGATAAGTCTTTAGATGTATTGCATTGTGGTGATAGGCCAGGTAACAAAAATGCTGCCTCCTTCAGTAGGCATGAACTGGCAAAAGCAGAGATGGGGAGGAGGGAGAAAGAATTTCATGTAGTTCAAGGTGCTTAAAAATATTTGGTTGTCACTCAGAGCAGGTCCTGCTGAGCAGAGACCTGCAGAGTTTCCTCTCATTACAGCCCTGCTATCACTGTAAGATTGTCACAGGAATGAAGGCAATGGTCTGAGAGAGGAACTTGGGAAGAGTTTAGAGCTTCCTGACGCTCTGCCTTGGAGATTCTTGACAGGAGCTCATGTGTGTGAAGCCTTTTTCAGCTTGCTTCCAGCTAGGCAATACTTTTCTCAATGCTGGTGATGTTTTTCACTGTGCTGGTGTTACCTTTAGCTCCCAGGTGTGTGTTCACCAGTTAGAAATATGCTCATGTAGAGGAGGCACCTACCAATGGTCTGGTTTTTCTTATGGCTTCTGAAACACAGATGTCACTCCTGGGATTCATCTTGCACTTTGGGATTCGTCTTGATGCCATGTGATGTTATTTTTACCTTTTTTTCTTTTCATTTTGAGGAAATAGGAGTGTACTTTAAAAGCAATTTTGATTCATCAGACAATAAAATTTATACAGTACAAGTCAGAAGTGCAATTTTCTGCTATTCCTGATGGGCTTGTTTATTACAAAAATTCCTGTTGAGTTTCTCCAGTTTTTAATGATATTTTAGCAATATGGGAAGATTGGGTTTTGGTGAGGAATCCCTAGGAAGTGTGATAAATCGTAGATAATGTGTTCTCCCTGGGACTTAATCGGTTTTATAGTTCAGAAACTGCAATCTTTCCCCAAGATCTAATTTGTGTAAGTTGGCATGATCATAGCAGGATCATGTTCACCATGCCAATAGTTTTCCTACTACTGAATTAAAACCGCTTAAATGTAACTATTGGTTAGAAATATATCATAACTGTCCAAACTTAATTTTGGATATGATGTGTAATTTTTTCTTTCCATGACTATGGACCAAAAAAAAAAATCAAATTTAAATGTTTTATTCCCCCCCCCTTTTTTTTTTTCTACTTGTAACTAGTAATATCTTGAAGTAATATTACTTTTAACAGACCCGTTAAGGAATGCTACACTTAAATGCTTGTTTGACTCTTCCTGGCCAAAATAATCAGGATTTTCAGTTAAAAGCCTTGTGTATCTTTTTCTGTCAATACTTTCCGTTCCCTGAATGCCAGTTGAGTTCAAAGGAGAGATACAGGCATGGTTTTCCTGTACTGGAGGGGAAAAGATCAATAATAATCTATACCCCGATGTTCTATCATATAAAAAATAGAAGAAACACCAGGACAGTTCACAATGGAGCACTTGTCTGGTCCCATCCCCTGCTGGAACAATGGTTTTTTTATGTCTGTGCTCCAGGATTTTGAACTTACATTCCTCTATTAGTGCATCAACAGGAAGGACATCAGGAACTTCTTCATCATTTTTTACTCCTCCCAGCACTGCTCTTTCCCTTTTCCAGCTGCCAGAGAAGGAAATACAGATGAGTAGCAAATACTCTTTCAGCTCCTTATGCTGAGGGTAGTTTTGTTAGGGATTGTACTCAGGGATATGGTTCAGTGGCAAAAGATCTGAAAATTGCACAGGCATGTCAGAATGCCAGGAGTGGTTTGAGGTGGAAGTCGAAATTAAATGTTACCTCATTCATTTATGGAATTGCAACTGTATTTTTTTTTTTTTAAGGCAGGAAAGCTTGCTGTGGATAGAGGCTGGGCCATCAATGTGGGTGAGTACAAATTCATTGATACCCTAAACAGTGTGTTAAAAGCATCTGATTTTCATTTACATCTCTTTACAAAGCCCCTCAATGTTTTTAGTAGCTGGCTTTTGTTTAGTATGTAGCTTTTCACCTCTTCAATGTTTTCCTGTTCAGGGGGTGGTTTCCATCACTGCTCCAGTGACAAAGGGGGAGGATTTTGTGCATATGCTGACATCACACTGGCCATCAAGGTAAGAACTGCTCTTAAACCACAGTTTTCTGCTGTTTGTACAAATGGAGGAGAAATCCACTAATTTACATCCTAATAAGAGAGAAATTAAGCTATTTCTAGATGGGCAGGAATGGTGATTTGGAGAGCTGTAAAGTGGAATGGAAGAGTTGCAGGGATCAGAATTATCAAGGTAAACAGGCATCAGTGTAATTGCATTGATAATGTTGTCTTGCAAAAACCACTCCAAATCAAACCAGATGGATTTCTGATCTCCTCAGTGATAATTCTCCTGGACATTCCATGTTGATTTCAGTGGTGACAGTCAAGACATGCAGAGACAAAAACCCCCTCTCTGAATCAAAATGCACTGTACAGGGCTCAGACTGGTTCAGATTCATGAATAAAAGTGTGAGTGACTCCAAAATAGTCACCAAATGAGAATGAATACATTTGGTGTTTAGTTGTTGAATGGCTGAAGTAAAAGCCTTCTGCAATTAGGGCTTATTTTTATCGAATGAGCTATGGTATATTTGTATACTAGAATATTTATAACGTATCAGTAATAATCAAACACTAAAGAGCTCTAATGATTGCAGCACACCATGTGACATAACATCCTAATGTCTGTACGTGGTAATTTGCAGAAAAGTAATCCACAGTGCTCTTTTTTCACCTACCATTAAAATACAGATTGAGAAATTATAGTGGGTGACAGTTCATACAAAATCTTTGGGTTTTACCATGTCTATATTAAAGATGGTAACTTAGCAGCAAAGTTAAGACTCAAAGAAGTAAAACCCATTTTTTTCTTCCCAGACAGAATAAGAAATTAATTCTGTCACTAAAAGTAGCTCTTAAGGCATGCAGTCCTTACATCAGCTTTTCCTAAACATTGAATTTTAAGTTGTTGCAGTTGGATGCTGTCACCATCAGCTCTGTGATCCTTGGGTGGGCCTGGCCTCCTTCTTTTGTCTGGTGGAAAGATATAGGGTTTTTATTTTAATAAAAATTACCTTTTAATGTCAAATAATGAGATGTAATATTAAACAAACAGATGTGCCCTACATTCAAATTCCAACAGTTATGCACTGTGCAATCTTTGAGCCTCCAGTTCAATATTTCATCTAACTTCATACATTTTTCCATGTTTTTCCTTGCTTATTTATGCAGTTCTTATTTGAGAGAGTACAAGGAGTGTCTAGAGCCACAATTATTGATCTGGATGCCCATCAGGTGAGTAGTTTGCCTGTGTTTAGTGCTGCAGATACTTTGCTTAAAATCAAAGTGTATGATAAACATCTTTTTTTAATACAAACATGAAATCACAGAATACAAAGTTAATCAGAGATGATGAAAAACTGTGAAGAGTTGATTCTTCAATGATTTTGAGGCCCAAAAGGTTCTTAAGCCAGTTTAATAAAATTAACTTGAGTTGCAGCTCCATCATGTGGCTGCATGTAAAATCCTTGCTGCGTTGCTCTCCCGTGAGAAACAAGGATCTCTCCAGGCACAATCCCAGCTGGTTCCCAATGCTTGGTCACTGCAGCAGCCTCTGCAGGGGAGGGATTTGACCTTCAGTGGTTTAATTTTAAGCCTAGCTTCGGGCTAATGAAGTACAGGATCCATCCCTCTTCACCTGGAGGAGTGATTTACTGTGGTACTGAGATCAAATCTCAGCTTTGGTGGGATTTGCAAAATAATTCCTGAAAGGACAGAAATGGTATTTTTAGAAAGGCAGTTAATGCACCAAAGTGATGTCCAGCCTGAGGCATTTCAGGTGATTTATTATGTGTAAAGAAACATTTTTACACAGTTCTGTGGCACTGAGGAAACCTAATGGCTGCAAGTTTTTAATCTTCTCTCATTTCTCTTACGTGTCCTAAAATCACCATGATTTCAGGACATAGATTATGCAGTAGAAAGATGTTTTGTGTTCATGGTTCTCTTCAGCCTGTCTGTCAGGCCGTGGATTTGTTTTTTGCTATATGGGGGTAGTTTGGTTTTGAAAAGTTCCTGGAATGTATTTTGGTTTTCAGATGTGCTGGTAGTCTCAGTGTGCACCTCTCATAAGGAAATGGTTCCCCCAGAGGCTTTTGTATTCCTAGGGTTGTGTGCATGAACCATTTCTTTGTGGACCAAAGATGCTGAAGAAATAAGCGGAGTTGCCATTTGTCAGCATAAAAATGGAATTACAGCAGATGTATCTATGGAAATGTCTGTTTCTGTACTTAAGTGAAATTCTAGGGAAAGGGGCTGTGGTCCTTTATGATACACTGACTTGAACAAAATTTTTAGTGATTGCTGTGGTAAAATGATTTTTATATTAGTGAAAATAAGTGAGAGCCAAAAGAATAGTATTTAAATTCAGAAATGGGGAGGGGAAACTATTCGAAGCGTGAGTTTTCTCTCAAGCATCCCTCTGCACATTCAGTACAATTTTTTGTAGGGAATTTCTGGTGTAAGACTATTGGGTTGTTAATGTTTTTGTAATTTTCCCAGGGAATATTTACCTCACTAAGGTTTGAGTTATCAGGAGAGCTGTAGTCTGCTTTATTTATTCATTGATTCTTACATAAGAATACTCAGTATTCCTGCAGCAGTTGAAAGTGACTTTTTCTTGCACAGTTGGAAGATGATAGATCTGTTTGGTGGCCACATTTGTTTTTGTGATGCTCTTGAGGACAATTAGCTTCTGATTTTTGCTTATTTTTCTTACATGTATAATGAGATCCATGCAAATTACCTTCAGAGAGACAAGGATTTTATTTGTGGTAATACATGCAGTCTTCAGAACGCTTCTGTCACGCCCCCCAAAACTGCAGACCTCAAAATAATATCCAGGACTATAAATAAGAGAATGACACAGGAGTTCTGAATATTAGAACTTCTGTAGTGTTAATGACTCTAGAATTTTGCAATGTATTTAATTCTGTGTTGGCATGCTAGGAATAGCTAACTGTAAATTTCCTTCAGGGAAATGGCCATGAGAGGGACTTTATGGATGATCCTCGGGTTTATATTATGGATGCATACAATAGATATATTTACCCAGGTGATGGTTTTGCTAAACGTGAGTATAATCGAAATTCATCTTCCCAAATGTACCAGACCTACTGTGTTGTTATCTAACTTTTCTATTTACTATTAAACTTCCTTGCAACACTGTTACCTAGGTTTCTTTTTTTAATGATTTTTAATTTCACGTCATTTCCACTGCTCACTATGATATATCGTGATAGTGTTCATGCTGTAGTGTTTTCCCACACTTCAGGAATGACATTTTGGAGTGCAGGATGTGGGGTGGTGTCAGTGGATGTTGTTGGCAGTCCATTCCAGAGCTTGGAGCAAGTTAAATAATCCTTTGATTTGAAGAGAGTTGTTGGAACTTCATCTTTCCCTTACATTACATTTATGAGAGGATTAGCTGATACTGAGTAAAAAGGTTTCATGTTCTTTTGAGAGTGAAGTTGTAACATATTCAGGTGTTGCCTTGCCAGTAGAACTTGTTTGATAAGCATGAAGGAAACAATTTGCATCTGAATGTGTCACAAGGTAGGAAGCAAAGCAAGTCCCGGAACAGAACGTAGAATTTAAAGTTGGGAAGTCCCTCTGAGGCTGAGTCCAACCATTCCTCCAGCACTGCCATCAGTGACCAGTGTCCCTAAATGCCACATCCACAGGGTTATATCCCTGCAGGAATGGGGACTTTCCCCTTCCGTATCATCCCCAGTTAAGAGCTGGTGCTTGATTTGGTTTGTTGTGATTTGTTTATCCCTGTTGTGATGTGTCTATTGTGTCTTGTGACCTGCCACAATTAATTAGTGGGACTTTGATAATGGTTAAATTGGAATGCAAAAGCCCCAAGTTTATTTGGTCTTTGATTCTGTTACAATGTTATTTATTACAAGTTTAATTTGTTCACTGAGGCAGGGGGTGCTGGGGGAGTTGTTCTGCTGTTGGATTCCTTCAGTGATGCTGTTGTTTTGGAAAACCTACTTCATTTGGATTCTTGACAAGAGTTAGGTGCAGTGCATTTCACTGCCATCTTTTGACTAGTAAAAATACAAAGAATTGTAGTACTTCAAGGTTTTAAGCTAAAACATGACAATTTAAAGCACACCATGTCTGGAAGCAGACAAATCACAAGCAAATATGGGGGAGTTTCCCCGAAGAAAAGCGTCCTTTTATTCATATATCACATGGCAGCATTTGAACAGATGGATTAAGACCAAAACAGAGTCAGTCCTTGCTAGCAAGTCTGAAGCACTGAGCTGCAGTACCACACTGAATTCCAGCCTTACCTATCTGCAGATGAAGGATGAGGTGCACAGGGCTGGGCCAGAGCCATGTGATTATGTAGTTCCTTGCACTTTGCATAAGAATGTCTAAATAGGATTTTTCTGGCTAAGGTCCTTAAACCCTTTCCAATAGGTGACCAGGAAGAGATGGGATCACAGGGGGAATCTCCTTGTGGAGGGGCAGAGGCTTGAATGTGAGATTTTGGATCTTTGGGTAAATTCCAGCTGATGACTGTCTCCTTGGACTTCTGCCCGTTTTTTCCAGGTTTTAGTGCAGGAACCTCTTCAACACATTTTTTGCCCCATGGGCTTCATTAAGGAGGGGGGAAAAGGAGCAGCTCACCTTGCCAATGCTAAGCCATAAGCATATTGAGTCCCTAGGCAAAGCAGTGTGGAATTACACAGGCTCAGGAGGAGGAAGGAGGGATGAGGAATAGGACTGGTTCACTGAAGGGAAAATAGGAAAGGCTGAAACTCTGAGAAACCGTAAAGAAGCAAAAATATTTGCAACTAATGTTGATGCAATATAAAATAACAGGATGAAAAAGAAAAGCTTCACTGATGCTGAACAAAGATGTAAAGCAGAACAAAAGGCAGCAATCACAAGAGTAATTGTCATTCTGCGTGGAGGGTATTCTTGCACACTTGGTGGGGGCTGAATCCATATTTAAGATGTGAGACTCCACATAATTTAGTGTGAGAAAGAAGTCATGCCTTGGAACAGCTCTGGCATGGCTTTGATTAATTATGGGGTAGAGTCACTCATCCCTCCATAAAAGCACCCAAAACTCAGCTGAATAACTTTGGGTTTCTTTCCTTTACCTTCTCAGCCTTCATTTTCCACTTCTAATGCTTTATTAGAAGCATTAGAAATAATTTGATTTAAATTAAGAATTGATATTTGCTCTTCTGGTAGGATTACAGGGTAAGAACATTAAATGGAAAATTCTTGGGGCAAAGCTGAATCTTGTTATACATTCATAAAGCAGTTCACATAAATTCATGATCCCTTGCTGTGAAGTTTTGAGTGTTGTGATAAAAATAAAACATCTTCATAATTTCTCAGTGATATTTATCTTGTTTTTCCCCCAGCTGTTTACTCTGCAATAGCAGTTCATTGTTGCCTTTGCTTTATGCTTTATTTAGGTTACTTTTAAGTTAATAATTTTCTGTATGATTTCTCTGCTGATTAGTGACTGGACTTGCAGATCAGCTGGTTTTCAATAACGTTTTCCATTTGCATCTCAGATTGGTTTTTTTTGTCCTGCATCTAATTTTCTCTCTTCAATGGACTTTTTTCAAGGTCATTGTGCTTTACATTTGCTGAGAAAACAAACAGTTGAATAGTTTTCTTTAATTCTTTTATGTTTATTAATCCTTTAATGTTTCTGTGAAAATCCAGTGTATTGAGAGAGCTTCCAAAAATGTAATTTTTTTTGCTTGCTTACCTAAATTGTGCATTTTCTTTCAGAGCAATGCTTTGTTTATTGAGCCGTGCTTGCTTTGTTGTCCCTCAGGTGCCATAAAACGCAAAGTGGAACTGGAGTGGGGCACAGAGGACAGCGAGTACCTGCAGAAGGTGCACACCCACGTGGAGGGAGCCCTGAATGAATTCAAGCCTGACATCGTTGTTTACAATGCTGGCACGGACGTTCTGGACGGGGATCCCCTGGGAGGCCTGGCCATTTCCCCCCAGGTGGGTGACCTGCAGCTCCCCAGGCTGTCCTGTCACAGACACACAGCTCCCTTGCCTCCTCTCCCTTCTCTCTGTGGCAGCAGCTCTCTCCACAGAGAGAAGACACAGGTCTCCCAGGCATTTTCCTGGGGAAGGCTGTGAGAAGATCAGAGAAAAGAATGAGAAACAATTCTTATCTTCACTTGCTGCACCTCTTGTTGTGCACAGTGGAATGTGTTATGGAGATTTGTTTACCAAAGGGTGATTTCTTGACTGGTCACTGGTGATGGTGTTTGGATTGATTGACCAATCTAGTCTGAGTGTATTGGACTGGCTGTAAGTGTGATGGGTTTCTCTGATCAGCCTTCTGCAATCATGGAGTCAGTGCTAATTATTACTTGGCTGGGGGCTTGCAGTGACATCTCTTCCTTCTTGTCTCTCCTGAGTCTGAATATTTTCGTTCTTCTGGTGCCTGTTCCAGTATCATTCATCTTCTCTCTAAAATACACTGATTGCCAAAACCCAAACAGTAACCAGAGAGACATATTTGCACACTTCACCTGACTTCTATTTTCCCTGCTTGGTTTGTTCTTTCTGTGGTTCTTTTTTCCCCTCACATGTCACATTTTGCAATGTATTTCTTTGTCGCCTGCCCCCAGTGTGTATCTTACACTTAATTCTTCTGTAGCACTCCCAGCTGTTTTAAACTACCTTCATGGTTATATCAATTCTGTGCAGCCTGGCTGTGTATTCTCAGCAAATGAACAGTTATTTTTCTTTTCTTGATATTTTTCTTTAGATACCATTTACTTTCCTTGGTTTGCTACCAGACTTAAATTTTGGTTTATTATGTAAAGTTTCATAGAAACTTTACAGAATAAACCAAATTTTCTTTTCTTAAAGTAAGCAAAAATTTGCAGTCCTCTTATTTCCTTCATGGGTTTTTGTGATTCCTTCTCTGACAGTTCTTCTGTGCTATCTCTCTCCTGTTTCACATTTAGGTCTCTTTAATGGCCACCAGATCAATACAGAAAAGTGCTTGTTTGATCTGTGAGCTCTCAGATTCCCCTCTCTGAGGCCCCAGTTAGTCTGTTCAGTTTTAAGTCTGTTCAGTTCTCTTGCATGAAGGAAGAGCTAAGGGGCTTGGACTTGGTTGGGACCTTGGAGAGTAGATGGCCTGAGGTGTCAGGTGGGGTTTGGTGAAGCAGAGCCCTCTGGAGAGCAGTGGATCCAAGGGAAGTGAAGTGGCAGCTTGGTCATAGGGAGATACTTCGGATTTGCCTCTAAAAAAAACCCCCAAATTTCTGCACTTTGATAAAGAGCAGCGTTAACTGCCAAGAAAAATGAGTTGCTGTAGCTTGCTGGGTTCTGTGCAGACACAGAATGTGAGGATGGGGGAAGAAAGGTGAAGCAACTTCCCTGGCCATGAGGAGAGGTGAAAGGCATTCTCTGCAGGGCTGGAGGCAGCTCTGACCTTTAGTATCTGCTCTGAGGGCAGGGTTCTTGTCTCTGGTGTGCAGGCTTGAAATCCCAGTGCTGGAAAGGCATCATGCCATCATTTGAAGGGAGTCCCTCCCTTCAAAGGTCCTTAGTCCAAACTTCAGTTCTGCTCCTGAAGATGTCACTTGTGTTTTAAGCTCCTGCTGCAGTGTTAGTTATGCTCAGAATGGGGCTCCTAAGAGTGCTCTGAGTGACGGTTTCCTGGTTCATGAGGCTGTAAAAAAGCCTGTGGTGCATCAGCTGAGTCCCTCTTCCCTTTGTTTGGAAGTGGGATCTGTGCCAGGCTGTCTTCCACAGTAATGTGGGAAAAAGCCCATGTTTTCCCCTCATCTCCTGCAGGCTCCCCCTGGAGCTGCTGGAGCAGTGAGGCTCCCGAGAGCAGGGGTTGCTTCCAGTTCTGGTGTGGGGTAAGTCCTGCCTCCACTGCTGGGTCCCCAGGGCCCTGCAGCTCCTTCTGTAATTTTGTTGCTGTCTTTAAGGATCTGTTTCTAATAGAATTCTTCGGTTTCTTTTGTCTTACTGTTCATTTGTTATTCCTGGTACTTTCCCAGGGCTGTGTCAGACTGTGTGGCGAACAACATTCTTGGATGGTTTTACGAGATACTTTTTTTCTGCTACATTTGTGTTTTATTCTTTCCCATCTGTTTGTGGTCCAATTAATGGCAGGGTGTTATTTACTGATGCTCTTCCACTCTTCCTGTAACCAGCCTGAGCAATGCATGTTCATTTTGACACACTTCTGCTGCTGCTTCTTGAATTTTTTGGTTTTGCATTTGATTGCATTGTGATGCCTTTTGCCTTCACCACCTTTGCAGTTATTTAAGTTTTGAGCTGTCCATTGTAAGCTGTTGTCAGTTGTTGTAGGACGGATGGAGACGAGAGATCCCTGCAGCCAGGGCTTGGAACTCGGGTTTATGGCAAAGGGTGCGGGTGCAGGGCCCTGCTTGGAGCTGCCAGCCACAGCTCAGAGCAGGCCCAAAAGAGCAAAGTTGCCGTTACAATACCATAAATCTTCTTCTCTGCTGAATATTCCAATTTTCACTAACCGATCTAGTACAAGATACAAATCCTATAGCATTTACATACAGCCTATAAGAATGATGACATTGCCATACTGTGTTACATTTTAAACCCTAAAAACTACTCTTTAGACTCCTTCTGCTAAGCTAGTAGGGTCTGCTCTGACCCTTGGACCTGTCTGCAAGCAGAGGGTATTGTTTCATCAAAAGGGGATTGCCTTCAGCCGGCCATACTATTGTTTTCCAGTTGTTCAGTAACCAAGGCTTGGTATCTCAAAGCTTGCTTTCATTTCAGTCTCACTTATAGTTTCCATATTCTCAAAATCTTTTGCCAGGCAATCATATTTATAAGGCTTTCCTGTTTCATCTTCCCCACCAAGTTGTGTTGCAAGTTTTTTGGGTTTTGGGTGGTTTTTTTGGGTTTTTTTGAGGAGTTCTAATGAGTTGTATGTATCTGGAACTCTTCTTTTACAAAAGTAGATTTAAATTCTGTTCTCGCTCATTCCTGAAGTATTTTTCACCCTCATGTGCTTATTTCAAACCCAGAAGAGTCAACTCTGCTCTTGCCTGGATTCAATGACAGTCCAGCACCTCTTGGTCAGCAGTCTTTGTTATTTTTCAATTCCATACCCTTTTAGTAAGAAATTACTTAGAATTTATTTTCTTTTTATGGATTTGCTATTGCTTACATTTTACAACTTCCCCTTCAGCTATAGATTCTTGTTGCATTAACCACAGGCTCTTATTGCAGAAACTGGTACTTAAAATTCAGCCAGCAATTGTGAATGTGTAAAACTTGATTTGAATTTTGGGCTTTTCTGTAGGATTGTGAAATTTTGATCAAGTTACTAAACTTTTGACAGACGGTGCTGTGCAAGTTGAGCACAAATCAAAGCATTGTGAATTCAGAGAGTCTTTCCTAGTCTCAATTCCTCACCTGGGAAGTAGGTGTCAAATTTGCAATCAGTTTAAACTTTGTGACCTTTGAGTTGGAGTTCTTGTAGGAATTTGTACTAAAGACTTTTATCTGTGGTGTCCTCTAAAACAAGCCAAGGATATTTGCTTTGCTGGAGGTTTTTGTGATTGGGTTTTTTTAATGATTTGGCATGCAAAGCAGCTAACAGGACTTCTAAATGAATTTTTAATTGCTCCTGTAAGCTGTAAGGCTTAAACACTTAGCAAGCACCCAATACCCTGAATCCACAAACCACAGGTTAGAAGTGAAGCATCGTGTTGCTGTTGTTTATTTTTTGCTGTGGTGGCCTTGCAGGGCATTGTGAAGAGGGACGAGGTGGTGTTCAGGGCTGCCAGGAGCCGCGGGGTGCCTGTGCTGATGGTGACGTCCGGCGGGTACCAGAAGAGGACGGCGCGGATCATCGCCGACTCCATCCTCAACCTGCACGGCCTGGGGCTCCTGGGCAGGGAGCGCCCAGCCTGGGCTCCTGGCAGCCCCAGCCTGGGCCCCCTGCTCACAGACTCTGCCAAGGACTTGAGCAACTTGTCCCTGCAGTGACAGGTCACTGAGTGTTGGTCACATAACCCAGAGGCAATACAGAGTAACTCTGTCTCACTCCTGAATTTATCTTGAGCTAAGGCAACGCATCCTTTTAAACTAATTGAGATATGCACTCAAGGATACTGTCTTTGTGTCTAATATTGCTGTAGAAAGCTTAACTTGCTTCTCTGATTAAAGAAGTATGAGTATGGGGTGGGGGGGTCTGTTCTGTTGGAAGTACTATGCAGTTGGTATCCAAAGACTGTCCCAGACCTGTTTCAGATGGTGCAGCATGGTCTGAGGTGGGAGGAATATGGACTAAAACTACTGTTTTATGGGTTTTTTTCAATACTGCATTTTATTTATTGCTTTTTAAATTGAAATACTGTTATAAAACGAGTTCTGTGCAGACTTCAACTGTCAGTTTAACAATAAAGGGAAGTGCAATACTGTAAAAGCCAGGACAGTTTGTTTATGGCTTTGAAGCCGAAGCAGTTAGAAGGAATGTTAGTAAATTCATAGTTTATTCCTGTTGTTGATAGTGACTTAAATCTTGCTCATAAACACCTTGTGAAATAGAATAGGAAACACCTTTGGCTCCATATGCAAATGAGCCATTAGGGCTCACCATTACCAGTCTGGTGTTCCAAATGAGCTCTGCATGTGATAGGCAGTAGTTCCTATGCACTGTAACTCACAGACAGAGAAACTCCAGTCCGATGGAAGCTGATCTTACAGTTCTCAGCATCCCTGCAGAAAAAATCATGTAGAAATATAGGCTATCTTATTATTGCTAGCTTGCCATGTATGAAACAGCAAGGAGTAGATTTAAATTATTTTTCCCCAACTACTGCTGTTTTTCACTGGCTCAAAGATCAATGGTACTTCTAGTTGCAATCATAGTTGGTAAGCAAATCCTTCATTTTTCTTGTTCATTGAGGAATGCAGTGACATTTCTACATTAAGATAATGTGCTAACTTTATGTGGAGCTTTTAGGAGGATTTCAGAAAAAAATAGTGTATTCAAAGCAAATTCAGTTGCACTACCTGGGAAGTTTGGCTTTGTTCAAGTTGGTATATTTTGCATTAGGTACTATTTGTAGCAGTGGGTTGTAAATGTATTAAACTGTATATTTTGCAAGAGCTTTTATAACTTTCACTGATTTGTACTACAAGTTTTATGTTGTATTAAGGTTGGAGCTGCCCTGTGAGGGAGCACCAGGATTTTCCTTGTAGTAGAGTTGTTGTGTAAACTGTTTAAGGAATGTTTAATTCTAATCCTAATACTTACCTCATTTAGTGTTCCTGTTTAGATCATGGGGTTTGTCCATTGTATGAATTGCACAACTGCTATAAATACCTGCTTTAAACCAGATCTGACCTATTGCACTAAGCTTGAGTTGCTACACTGGGATTAAAGAGCACTTTTAAATTTCTTACTAGAACGACCATCAGAGTATGACTAATGTTGAGATTTAGTTTTTCTATACTGTTTGACATTACTGAAAGATGTTGTTATTCTTTCATATAATTCTTATAAAATTCTAGATTACATTTCTATGAACTAAACCCCCGTCATAGCACCATATGGTCTTTCCCCAAACATTTGCTGTCTGTGTTAACATGTTTCTATAATTTACTCTCAGTGGAGATTAAAATTATGTTGAAAAATGATGACTGACTTCTTGTCACTTCACACGGATCTTAGCTGTCAAAAAGCTTGACTGGAGCAGTTTATTGAAAAGACAAGAAGATGTACTTTTCATATTTAAAATGTGTCTGAAACTACAGTGAGTCTCAAGGATGAGTAGTACAAGGTTCGTCAGCAGCTTCTCTGAGAGTTCAGTGGTGACTCCTTGAAGAGAGCTTGCAAGTTTTGTGTTCAAATACTTTTTGAGATGTCATTATAAGGGGTTAAAGTCCCAAGTTCTAAATCCCAAGTTCTATTTCATTACCTACCTTGTAAGTCCTAATCCAAGTATTTTAGTATTATAGGTGTTAAACTGGTAACTGAGCTTCTGATAAGGCTGCAGTAGTTTTAGAGGCTTTTTATAAATCAGTATCTTTTCAGAGATCTGAATGTTTGCAGCAGAGCCTGCTGGCTCTCAGGCTCACCTGTGAAATTTCTGATAAGCAGCAGACACATTGACTGCATTTCAGTGTTCATTGTAAAGTTACAAATGGAAAACATACCACTCATTCATATTTTCAAAAATGTGGTGTCTTAATACAGAAAAGGAAGAATACTGTGTGGAATTTTATCTTTAAAAGTTCCTGTATCTTACCAGATAGATATACATATATATATGGTATTCTGTGCTTTAATTGGTTTCCTCTGCTGCAGTCATCTCTGTTAGATGAATAAATCAGTGCACAATGCTTTCAAAAGATGCAATTATTAATCATGAGCTGTTTCAATGGACTGTAAATATGACTGGTCGTGTAGGCTATCACAAAAATTATATAGGAGCTAGAGACATGCCAGGGCCTGAGGAACTGGAGTCTGACAGCTGGAGAGTGTTTGAACTACCAGTAAATAACTCATGAAGGGAAAGGGAGGATGCAAATGCTAGAAAATATTTTTTTTTTGGCGAGAGGTTTCCAGAGGAAAATTGGCTTGACCTATATAAAAAAGATATACATTTCACTAAGCCATTCTAGTGTGAAAAACCATTTCATCTGTTTACATTTCCTTTGAGTATTTTCTCATGAAGTGCAGAGCTGTGCTGCAGGTGACCAAGATGCACAACCTCTCAGTATTTCTTTACAGACACAAGCAGAGGCAGTGAAACTCTGGGTCTGACTGTGTAGGAGTTAAAGAGGAAACTACTGCTGGGGTCTGTATGTGTAAATCTATTTATTCTGCACTGCATGGGGATGATTTAAAGGTTTCACCTGCCACCAAGGATTGGATTGACTCCTTCTTGCAGAAGAGGATGGTGAGGCAATTTCTTGAGCTTTTTGCCACCAAATACCCTGAACCCAGCATTCCCAGGCCAATTTATAGCCAGAAGTCTCTAATGTGTAAGCACAGCACCGAATTTAGAGAGGAATACAGGCTTGTTCCTTCTTCAGGTTTCTTGAGCTTGCCTTGTTTTTTACCAGTTCAAGGCAAACAATAGCCTTCATTGTCCTGAAGATAAAAGCTGGGAGAGAATGTGTCTGAGAGGAATGAGGCTGCTAATGAAGCATGTGATGGTCGAGTTGTCAGCTAATTATCTTTTCCATCTGTTACCTAATAGAATTCTGCAACACTGGGATTTAAGGTTTGTCAAGTTCTGCTGTCTTTCACTCTAAACCTGGACATGTCTGCCAAGGCTAACAATGAAATGAGCATATTAAGATAATAAATCTCCAGTGAGCAGCCTGAGTTATTTATATTGGATGAACAAGGCTGCAAGTAGAACTGGGGTGTCTTTTGGGTTGCTGGAGGTGGGAATGCTTTAAGAATTGAATACTTTCATAGTTAGCTTTAGCTGTGGGAATGTTTGAGCTTGAGACATGAAAGAATGCAGACCTTTCAAAATATGGTATGTGAGAAAAATGTGCTATTTAGTGTTTCTATTTCCATCGAGGAAATAGCAATGCTCTGCTTGAAATAAATAATAAATTTCCTTTAAACTCAGTCAAATGATGATCAGGGAAACAAATTTCCTCTCAACCCCCGTCAAAGAAGCTGAAGGCAAAGTTGGGTGTCTGAAAGCTATCTGTTACCTACAGGACACAGTTCCATTATTCACTGAGAGGAGGGTTGCAGTTTTCCTCTTTAGAAAGGTTATTTTTTTTTTTTTAACAGGCCTAGAATAAGAGATAGAAGTGTTTGTCAAATTCATAAAAAAATTGACAGACTCTGAATTGGGTTTGTGGTTGCTGCGCTGTCAGACCAATTGTAAGCATGACTCAGTCTTGGACAAACTCACACCTTTTCCTTCAACAGAGAAGTGAGGAGCAGTATCATCAGCATTGCTACTTTTGAGCAGTTTGGCTCTGTTTGAAATTGCAGAATTCCAGAACAGTTTGGGTTGGAAGGACCTCTAAGCTCATCCAGTGCCATCCCCTGCCATGGGTAGGGACATCTTCCCCTGTCCCATGGTGCTCCAAGACCTGTCCAGCCTGGCCCTGAAGTGCATGAGGTTCGGCATGCAATAAATACATCTTTCCAACCTCACATCATACAGAAACGTGGCAGGAAAAGGCCATTTTGGTTCTTCTGTTACCATGAAATGCATCTTGAGCTCTCTGTGTAGCACTAAACCTGGAAATAACTGAGAAGAACCTTTGATAGGACAAGGAGAATAATGCAGAACAATCCCTGGGTGCAAATCAGGGCTTGGAATAAATACAGCTAAAGCAATAATTATCGCTGTTGCCTTTATATCTCTTAAACCTGGGGCAAAAAAAGATCTTTGAGTGCTGCTTAAGGTGTTAAAAGTGTGAGGGGGACACAGAGGGAATTTGTGGCCAGGTAGCTGCTCGGTGTTGGAGCTTGTGGAGCAGTCCTGGCTCAGGGTCACCATCTGCAGCACTGCAAACAGCTAAAGCCCACAGGGTCCTGCTGACAGTGACTGCCAGGAGTCAGCAGGACTGCTTTCAGACAGGTTTGCTCCTGGTTTGTACGAGGAATGCTTCAGTCCAGTTTGATTTTGAGCTATGGAGACTGAGTTACATTGTGTTGAAGCAGATGTTCAATTTCCAGTGACCCACTTAAAACCTGCTCCCACCAAAGTGTTCCTTATTCCTCAGCTCTGGGGTGATCTGCATGCTGAGAGTCAGAAATGTCTTCCTGTGGGCTACAGCAGGAGCAGGCAGACCTTTCTAAGGATGATCCTGTTAGGAATGTGCAGTCCTACATTAGCATCACCTCATAAGACTGCAGGTTTATTGAACAGGTACAGTCATGTTGTAAGAGATGTGGTATTAAAAATGAAGTTGTTTAAAATTTTATTGCATTTACAACAGATTAAGTGCTCTGCAATGAACAACCCATAAATGCTTAGTTTAGCAAGTGGTGAGCTACTGTGAAAATCCTGAGCCCTTTCTTGGTCCATTTCATTATGCAACATTAATTGTGCAGCCAGGCTTGTTTCCAGGAAATCTCCTCTCTGGTCCTGTGGGAATCTCACCGTCATCAGGCTCTCCCTGCAGGGAAGAGTGAAAGAACATGGCAGTGGGAAAGATGACCAGTGTTTACAAGCAGCTGATGGGAATTCCAGCTGCTTTGGTGGGGTTGCATAACCTTGGAGTGGGAAATGCAGTGCCCCAGGAGAAGGCGATGCCGCCCAGCCTCTCCATGGGAGTGCTGTCAGATGAAGTGTTGACATTGTGTGCATGGTCACATTTAAACCCTCCAGTCTGTCCTTGCTGAGTCCCTTGCTTGTGCAGAAGGGCCTAGTGGGTTTATATTGTAATTGGAGTAAATGTCTCTTGAATGCATGTTGAATTTGGAAGTCTGATGTGGCTCAATTAAAATGTGATTAGGTTTTCTGTCTCCACTGTAGAGGCTGTAAGTGCTCTGGAGAGCTGTTTAATGTTGAAGGCTGGCCTGCTGCTTTTGGCTGAAATGCAGCTCCAAATATGCAATGCTCTGAGAAATTCCAGGACTCCCACTAGGTAAAAAAATTTTCTCTCAACTCTAGCATTTAATCAAGTTCCCTAGTAACACGTCTCCAAGTATCACAAGCCTCATTGCTTGGAAAGCCATCAATTTTGCAATGAACTGAGAGTTTTTGTTACATGTACTGGATGACATTCTGTAGGTAGAGAGGTCTGATTAAAACAATTTCCATCCCTTCTGGTTTCAGACAGCATTTGTGTTAGATGCTCCTGTTTTACTCTGTGTTACATGCTTTGGGTGAGATTAATTTAGTTACACTGAGTATTTATCTAGTCTAATTCTATTAATTACAGTATTTTTGTTCAACTTAACCTGGGATAGTATGTCCAGGATCCAGTCACTTAAATCTGGGCTGAAGCAGAAACGAGCTATACTTGCAGAAGCTTACTTGGCATAAATCAAAACATTGTGGACAGGACAGGAGATCCTAAAAATCCCTGAGCTAGTCATGTTGTGGTGACCATGCTGACTGGGACTCGATAATGTCTCAGTTCAATACAGCACAGCTTTGGGAGAGTTGTGTCCAGCTGGTTTTATTATGGACTGTCACTTTCCTGGGGAAAATACAGAAAGGTTCACTTTACCCAAGGTAAGACCTGCAAGGTCCCTGTGCTCTGGTCTGAAACTGGCTGACAGCAGGGCTGAAGTCTCACCCAGACCTTTCTTGGCTTTGGCACTTTTGATTAAGTAGTTCAGAGATAGTCCAATAAATTCTTTAATGACTCATTTTAGAAAAGAACAGTGTGATTTGCATGTGGAACCAAAAAACCTTTTCCTTTGTTTACCTGCCCAAAGACACTGATGATACAGTAGTTTTATATGGCACTAATGTTCCATGGAGTCTCCGTGTGTTCAGTATTTATGATGACCAGGGAAACAAATTCCCTCTCAACCCCTGTCAAAGAAGCTGAGGGCAAAGTTTATGATGTGCTGGATCCCCTAGACCCCATTTATTATAGATGTGCTCAATTTGAGCTGATTTCTACAGTCTTCACAGTAAGTGGCTTGATATTCTTTTATTTCAAGAGAATCTTGGGGGGCAGAGTTAGAACATTCCATATTCTGGGCCTCTCAGCAGCTTCTCCATGTGGTGAAGACTTGTCCATGCATGTCCTGTTCCCACAGCAGCGCTGTGTTGGCACTGGGAGGTATCTCTGTGTCCTCGTGGCTTCTTAAAGAAAGAAAAGGTCCTAATCTTGCAAGTGGGACATCAGAATGTGCTGGCTGGGACCCAAATTTCTGAAAATATTTGGGCACTCTAGGCTTATTTCAGTGCATGTTAAGCACCTTGGTGTCTTCCTGGAGCACACCTGCCCTGAGTGGCCAAGGGCTGTGCAGAAGGTACCTGGGGGGCTCCTCACTCCATGCCCAGAGCTGTAACCACTGGAGGACAGAGCCTCCTTATTGCTCGGGAAATGAATCACTGCAAGTGTGAAATGCAAATGACGGAGGTTGCCTGAACTGCAGCTTGGATAAGATGGATTTTTGTATTTTGCACTGTCACTGTGACAGTGCTGCCATATGCTCAGGTTCTGCTTTGAGCTGAATTAGTGCCCAAAGGCAGCTGTGCTGCCCTGCCCCAGGTAACAGTGAAGACCTGAGCTCCTTGCTCAGTGCCTCAAGGGCAGCAAAGCAACCCTGGGAGACCCTGCAAAATTCAGAGCTGAGCATCTGAGGGCACTTGGTTTGCTCAGCTGGAGAAGGGAAGATTGAGATCAGAGCTCCCTGGGGGCCGCAGCTCCAGTCTCTGCTCCCTAAGACAGGGACAGCACCCAGGGAACAGCTGGAGCTGGGCCGGGGGGGTCAGGTTCCAGAGGATTTAAACTCTAATGATTAAATTCCAGGTTAAGATGAGTAAATGCACTGGAATCCTTTAGCACTAAATCACAGTGTCATTGTTTAGATGCTGAAAAGATAAACCAAAAATCACTCATTTAGTAATATTCTAGAAATTCTTTTAGGTGTCTGCCTTTTAATATCTTTTGACATACACTTTTAAAGTGATTTGTCCATGCATTTATAAATTTCTCTTTTGCTTTAAATAAAGCAGAACTAGGTAGTTGATATTTGGAATCCTCATAATTGTTCTTGGAATTTTTATTTGGATGATGATTTTGGCATGGATGATACTTTATGAAACAGTCCCAGGTCTGGATCTCATTCATCACAGCTCTTGAAAATAAATGTCCCTTAGCTTTCAGAAAGGGCCATGAAACTTTTCAAAGGAGGAACTGGATCTGTAAAGTGTATGTACATTTAAATATAGGTTCTTTTAAATATGCAGAGCTTCCATAAGGATCAGGTTTGTACACATTACATTAATTGTAAATGTAAATTTAAAATCTATTTCAGACAATGCATTATAGAATAACAGAATCTCAGAATGGTTTGGGTTTGGAAAGGGATGTTAAAGGCCATCCAGTCCCACCCCTGTCTTGCCCTGGGCAGGGACACCTTCCACTGTCCCAGATTGCTCCAAGTCCTGTCCAGCCAGGTCTTGGATACTTCCAGGGATCCAGGGACAGCTACAGCTGCTCTGGGCAACCTGTGCCAGGGCCTCACCTTTATAGTATGCTGGTTTTAAATATGCCAGAATTTGAAAAAGAAACTGATTTCCTTGAATTAATTCTGTTCTGATGAGGCAAAGTTATTCCTGGCAGATGTTTGTCCTTGCAGAATTTGCAGCGGGGTACTCACCACAGACCCCCCCTGGGGCTGGGGCTGGGGCTGGCCCTGAGCTGGGCTTTGGGCAAAAAGGAAGCACAAAGACAAAGGTGAGGGAGGAGCAGACAGGATCCTGGACTGCCCGGTGTGAAAGTTTTTGTGTGTGTCTGATCTCAATGACTCTAGTCCTGAGAAGGTGTTTATGAGCTGTGCTCTGTCCTTCTGCACCTCAGAGCTACTCCTGGTGAGCAGAGTGAAGCTCAGACATACGTCTTGTCATGTTCAGGGCTTGTCACTGGGCTGGAGTGTGGTTACTGCAACCAGAGTTTGCTTTAGACATGGTGCTGGCATTATAAAGTGCATTATTGGGTTGTATTAAAGTAACTGAGCTCATATTACCAACGCCTGACAGTTCTGACATGGAGCCTTTAGATTTGCACCATCTTTTGCCTTGGGCCTGACCTAAATCGCAGGCATTTAGGGACAAGAAATGAATTGGTCTTGTCTCCGTTCAGACCAAATTCCTGGCTTGTGCTGAGCGCACTATTAATGGAGCCAGCAGTGGTCGTGTCTTTGCCTGAGACTGTAATAAATTACATTTATTAATGGCAGATTATATAAACTTCAGCCAAGTCTTTATCAGCACTTAGGCCAGACACCAGATAAACAATTGGCTGCAAGTTTGTGCTCTAAGAAAATTGCACATGAACCTTGAACTCAGTGCTGTGGTTTAAACACTTTAAGAAATGAGCTGGCTGCTCAGCAGTGTAAACTGGACAATCCTTGAAGTCCAAGCAAGGCTGCAGTGCCACATCTGCTGAGGATGCCACTCTTGGCCCTCGGTGGGACTGTCCTGGCTGGTGTCCCTGCAGGATGAGGACGAGCAGAGCTGGGGCTGCCCAGAGCCCACGCAGGTCTGGCGCTGCCCCACGTACTTGGCTGTGCCTCATGCTTTACTCCTCGGGATGAGTTTCCCTTCCCATCTGGCCAGCCATTCCCCCTCAGAGGAGCTGGCCCTTTGCTGCCAGTTGCACTGCAGGAAATTCCCTGCTGCTGGGAGGAGATTCCCTGCTCAGAACATGCCGGAGCTGCCAGGGACTGTGCTCCCAAATTAAAGCAAAGTGACGACACATGTATGTCTTGTTTACTGGGGGGCTGGAGCAGCTCAGCTGAAGTCAGGGAGAGCAGTGCAGTTTTCCTAAGGTTTTTTTTAACCAATTTCTGAAATCCTTTTTGACATCCGCTCTTTCTTACGCAACAATATAACTGTCCTTTTAGGAAAAGAGATGTTTTTCATTATTTATTTCTCAGTTAACAGACACATTTCCAAGTGCCTACAGTAACGGTGAGGGCTTTGCTTTCAGGTGATTTGGCCATACAGCTGAGTTGAACTCCAACACTGTTTTCTGTTCCATGTCTGCATTTACCTTGGTCACAACTGAAACCAGGATTTTATCAGAGAGCCAGTTTGTTTTTTATTAAAGAAATAGTGTGACACTGTTGGAATCAGAGACATAAAACTCCTTGAGGAAATCTGAACCTTGCAGGCACTCACATCCCAATATCATCAGCAGAAGCATCTTGTTTGATCTTTGTAGGGACAACATCATTGCTTTTCCCTTTCCCATCCCAGGGATCACACGGAATTTTCTTCTTTTACATCCAACTCAAAAACAAAGTAAACAACGTAGGGTTTTAAATCAAAAGTAATATGTAAGGATGTTAAAGGCAGAGTGATAGAGCTCCGAAAATATGACGTCTGTTTCCCCTTTCATGCCAGACTGCATTCCCTGTATTTGTGTTTCTGGAACAGCAGCACAGGACTGGGGCTGCTTTCTGGGAGCAGAATGCTGTGAAGGGGCAATGACTGTAAGGCCAGTGGGCACCTGTCCTGCCCTGACTCTCACCTAATTCTTGCAACACTGTCTCTACTTACACACCAGGGAAAATGATCCGCGCACCTATTTTTGATTTTTGTTATACTTAACTCGAAATTACATCCGCATCAAACGGATTTTAAAGACTGTAGCACATGTGCAGTTTCAAGGGATAGCAAAGCCAGTGCTGCACTCTGGGAACTAAGTCCACAGTCTGAGTTGTTGATGTCATTTAACTAATTTGCAGCTCATTGTGATGATGATGATAAGCATAGCATCATAGAACATTTCCTTTTTATTTTCCTCCCTTAAATAAAAAGGTGCCATTCAGCTTCTGGAGAAAAGAACTCTCAAAGGTGCAGTTTGGCAGTCATGGAGGCAGAGGTGGGGGAGAGACAGATATGCCCTGGAGGGATGCTCTGATGGGCTCCAGCATTTAAACAAGCTACTTTGATACATAGACTGGGCCATTTTCAATACTAAATGGCTGCATTAAATGGTTTTCCAGGCCTTATGCTGGCCAGAAAACTTTTAAAGCCCATGGGAGTTTAGCCTCCATGAGAAAGGCAGCACCAGTTCCTGTGCCAGGTGAGACATAACGTTCAAAAGCTCAACTTGTGTTTAGAGAAGCCACCAGCCTAATGTAAGCAAGGCCAGAAAGCTTCTCCAGTGCTGCTGAGCGCGTGTGGCAGAGCTGTTGTGTTTTACAGCAGCTCCATGGCAGCACAGCAGCTGCAGCAGAGGGCTCAGGACAGCCTTGGGGGGAGCAGGGCGGCAGGAAGCTGAGCAAAGCCCCTGCTCTATGACTGAGGCACTTTGTGCAGAAGCAAAGAAAGATGGTGACTTGAAGAGATTCCTGCTGTGCTCAAGGTTTGCCTCTGAAGACTGAGAGGTGAGCTTGTCAGGAATCCCAGAAAACATCAGGGAAAAGGTTTTAGGTTAGTTGTTGTGATTAGGCACAAGTCTCCGGTGGGAAAAGAGCTTCTGACGCAGGCTGTGAGTCATAGGGTGTCTTAGTTCTTAGTAGAGTATAGATTATAAATTAAATGCAATTTTAATTTTTATTCTAGAAGTGTAAAAATATTCTAAGTTTTTCTGAATACTAAAACTACTTTGAAAAATATAGAACTTTTGTGGGAAAAGGGACAAAATATTTGAAGAATTTTCTATGAAAAATAATCCTAAATCTTGCAAAATGAAAACTAAACACAGTAGCTGCTGGTCTCAGGAGCCTGATGCCCTACTGCTGCCTGCCCAGCACTGGCTGTGCACAGACAAGCAGCTCTGTCAGTGCTGGTGGGAGCACCAGGGACCAGAGCTGAAGCCCAGAGATGCTGCTGGAGTCAGGCCCTACCCTGGGCTGCACCTCCTGTCCTGGCTGGACGCCAGGGCCAGCACCTTTGGGGACAGAGGGTTCTGTTATGGGGGGTGGCAGCATGTCCCCAGCAGTAAAGTGGGTATTGCAGCTGTGGAAGGGATGTTGGAAACTGGCTCGGGGATGGCTGATGACCGGCACAGATCTGCGTGGCTGAAGTCTTCGTCTGGTCTTGTGAAGATGCAGAGGCGCTGCTGTGGAGAGAGGAGTGGCTGAGGCCCCAGCTGCCAGTGGCACACAGGGAGCCTCCTGCACAGCAGGGCCCAGAGCTGGCAGGGCTCCCCAGCACGGCTGGAGCGGCTGGCACACCTTGGCCCAGCTGGACAGCTGCCCCTCAAGGCCCCGGCGAGCAGGGACGGCTCTGGGCAGGCTCCCTGGCCAGGAGCGGGCCCCAGAGCGCCTCTGCCTTTCAGGGGCAATCTCGTCCTCGCTCTTTCTCCTCCCCACCTTGCTGTGCCTCTGCCCTGTGCCCCTGGGGCTGCTCGTGGCCAGGCAGCCTCAGTGGGAGCCAGCACTGGCTGCAGCCCCAGCGGGGCCCAGGACAAGGCCCAGCAATGAAGGGGCCAAGGAAAGCACTGGGCACAGCAGAGCCCTCAGCAGAGTGCTTTGGACAGCCATGGACTGGCCACAGCTCCACTGCAGCCTCGCTGGAAATGTTTCCCATCTACATTAGGTTTTTAAAAGAAGCTGTTTGAGGGAGACATGATAAAAACACTCACCCTTTTATCTTCCAGTAGCACCAGATTAAAACACAGCATAAGATAAAGACAAGCACTAGAAGAAGCATGCCTGCCATTAACCCTAGCCACCAGCCTGTTCCCTGATAGAAACCAATTCGGATGTCCTTTGGGGAATCAGGAACAGCTGTTGTGGGGCCAGCAGCATCTGTGGGAGCAATGGGGAGCGTGAGCCTGCGCTGTGCTGCACTGCTGAGCTGGCAGCACGGTGGATACGGCCAGGACGGTCCCTGTTTGCCCCAGAGCTGGGGCCTGCAGGCACCTTGCCACCCCTTGGCACAGGATGTGCCACCCAACAAAGCCCAGCAGGCCGGCAGGAGAGCCCAGGGCCAGTGCAGCTGCTTGGGCCGTCTCTGCTTGGAGGGACAGGGGCCAAACCCATCCCTGAGCAGCCCCTGCCAGCCCTGGCCCTCCCTGCCCCGCGACAGCTCCCCCAGCCCCAGGGGACAGAGCCAGGTCCTGTCAGGACACACTGCAGCCTTGCTCTCCCCCTCTGCCCTTTCCCCACCATGGGCACCCCGTGCAGTCACTCCCAGGTTTTGGGATGTGTCTCCCACGGAGGGACCCCAGCAGGACTGCTCAGTACCCGAGTGCCCTGAGCATAACAATCCCTCTGGGCTGTGCCGGCCTTGTCCGGGCTGTGCCCGCGCTGCCAAGCAGCAGAGAGGGCAGCTCAAGGCTCAGCAGGGCTCAGGCCCAGAGGCACAGCAATTACCTCCTGTGACTGTGCGTGGCATTGCCTCCCTTCCTTTAGGAAATGCTGCCTTCCATAGAGCGTCTCTGTCCATCCCTTGAGAAAGGAAGAGGCACAGCTGGATCAGATGGAACCATTACTCATTGGGGAGGTGGAAACTTCAGGAGGCAATACTTGTCAAAGACATGGAAAAGGATCAGGATAAGGCCCAGGCTCTTGGGGCTGTGACAGGGCTCTCTCTTTTCCAAACCACCACCCCTCCTGATCTTCTGGGGACTGGGAAATTGCAGGGGACATCAGGGTGCGCATGGCCCGTGGTGCAGTTGGGGCTCCCTGTCAGCTGGTGCCAAATGCCTTCCTGCAGAGGCTGGGGAGAAGCTGCAGCCAGGCCAGGCTGGGAAACAGCCCTGCAGGGCATGAGAGCAGCAGCGGGGCAGCGAGGCTGCCATGGATCCCTTCCTGCTGTGCCGGGCACGGCCTGTCCAGGTGTGCAGGGAAAGGCCCCAGCTGCTGAGTCCCAGGGGAAGGGGGAGGGAAATGCTCTCACCATGCCCTTTCTGCAGCTCCATCGCTATTGTATTCAGGATGTTGTTTGGCTCACGGGGTCTTTCCTTTCCTGTGCCTTTGTTCTTCCCTCTTGTAGGAACTTAACAGAAAGTAGTTCAATTTCCAAGGAATGGATCCCACAAAACTGTAGCTCAGCCTGTGGGGTCAGCAGGGACATACTACTCACCCCTGTGATGGGAGCCGGCCTTGTGCGTAAGAATCAACAAAGGAGCAGGAAAAATCCTCTCTGCAGCCACACCTGTAACTCAACAGCCACAGAAGCTTCTGTCACCTGGTTCCTGCCAGGTTGTCAGCAATTATTCCTTGGTGGGACAGTGAGAACATACCTGCAGGAGGCTTCACAACTTTATGCAGCCAATCTAATGGAGAAGCCTTCCCAGCTGCCTCATCTAGATCAGAGCACAGATGGGAACATTTTCTATGGTGTGCTGGGATCCCCTTCTGCCTCTGAGAAATGGGCACTGCAAGGTGGCTGGGTAAGGCCGTGGGAGGTGAGAATGGACATGGCCAAATGTGTACAGGGGCCTGAGGAGCTCTGGGCTGTGGCTCCTGTAGCTCCTGGTCACTCTCCACATTCTATCCCTGCCCTGTGCAACATCCCTGGAGGGGTGGCTGGACAGCCCAAGGCCCTGTGGGCTCTCTCACTTCCCCACCTAAAATTCTTGTTCAAGCACAGGGGAAAACTGCAGCAGGCAGTGCCACAACTTTCCCTCTGACCCTCCGTCCCTCCTGCCCTTTCTCACTCCCTTCCTACCTTCTTCTATCTCTCCATCCCTCTTTCCCCTGGGACAGCTCCCCCAGCCCAAGGGCACATAGCCAGGCCCTCTCCGGACACCCTGCAGCCTTGCTCTCCCCCTCTGCCCTTTCCCCACCATGGGCACCCCGTGCAGTCACTCCCAGGTTTTGGGACGTGTCTCCCACAGAGGGACCCCAGCAGGACTGCTCAGTACCCGAGTGCCCTGAGCATAACAATCCCTCTGGGCTGTGCCGGCCTTGTCCGGGCTGTGCCCGCCCTGCCAAGCAGCAGAGAGGGCAGCTCAAGGCTCAGCAGGGCTCAGGCCCAGAGGCACAGCAATTACCTCCTGTGACTGTGCCTGGCATCGTCTCCCTTCCTGCAGCAGAGGCTGCCAATGAGCCACTGCTTCCTCTGGGAAAGTCAGCCTTCAGCACAGCTTCTCCATCTACTTCTAGAGAAAGGAAAAGGGAGAGCTGGGTCAGGTGGGGTTGTTCCCCAACAAGAAGGTGGCATCTTCAGAAGGCAAGGAAGGCAAGGCTTGTCAAAGTCTTGGGTAAGAATTAGGAAATCCCTATAAATCTTGAGGGTAAGCCAGTGCCCTCAGCTTTCCAAACAGGTGCCTTTGTGATCTACCCAGAGACTGGGAAATTGCAGGAGATCTCAGGCCCGTGGTGCAGTTTGAGCTCCCTGTCAGCTGGTGCCAAATGCCTTCCTGCACAGGCTGGGGAGAAGCTGCAGCCAGGCCAGGCTGGGAAACAGCCCTGCAGGCCAGGAGAGCAGCAGCGGGGCAGCGAGGCTGCCATGGATCCCTTCCCGCTGTGCCGGGCACGGCCTGTCCAGATGTGCAGGGAAAGCCCCGTCTGCTGAGTCCCAGGGGAAGGCTGAGGGAAATGCACCCACCTTGTCCTGCCTGCAGCATTTCCTTCAGCATTTGCCTCATATTTTCAGATGTCTCATGGGGTTTCTTGTGTCCTGTAGCCTTGTCCTTTCCTGTTGGAGGACCTTAGAGCAAAACAATGCCATTCCCCAGGAATGGATCCCACAAAACCATTGCTCAGCCTGTGGGGTCAGCAGGGACACATACTCACCCCTGTGATGGGTGCTGGGCTTGCGGGCAGTAACCAGCAAAGGAGCTGGAGAAGTCCTCCCTGCAGCCACACCTGTAACTCAACAGCCACAGAAGCTTCTGTCATCTCTGCAGATCTGCACGGGCAGCACTGAGCCCCAGGAGCGGTGAGGGGATGGCCCAGGGCGAGGGCACACTCGTGCATGGTTCTGTCCTGGCACCTGCAGCGGTGCCCCCCTGCCCGAGCTTTGGGATCTGAGCTGGCAGCTCTCGCAGGGGGAACGCCTTGACCTACCCTCAGCATCTCCCAGAGCCTCCATCCTGAACGTGGGTTGGGAAGCTGCACCACCTTCACCAACAGGTTCAGCTGCAAAGGAAGGCAGGACAGAACAGCTCCTGTGGCACTGTAGGAGATCCTTAGGCTGCACCCCAGGCTCAGCCCCAGGACACAGCCCTGGGCCCGGCCCTTCCCTCTCTGCTCTTCTCTGGGGCTGCACAGAGCACACAGAAGGACACTCTGGCATTGCACACGGGAGGAGGATGGACAGCTAAATGCTCCTTCCTCCCACTGACAGTAATCCAGTGGGATCAGTCAGGGCTCCAGAAAGGGAGCAGTGCAAGGTTTTCAGAATCCTTCAAACCTGACTTAACGTTAATGAAAATGGAAGATGAGTGAGTCCTTGCCACACTGATACTGATTATTCTGTCAGGAAAAAGGGAAATGCAGAACTTGCCTCCAGCATTCTCCAAGATCTTTAAAGTGTCATTCACCAGCACTTGCAAATAATCGAAGTCGCGATCCAAATCTAGAGGGAAGCAGAGACCAGACTCATTTCCATTGTGCTGGGATCCCCTTTTGCCTCAGGGAACTGGGCACTGCAAGGGGATCAGTAAGGCTGTGGGATCCAGATTTGAATGAACAAGTCCAAAGCTGGACAGGGGCTTGGGAAGCTCTGGGCTGGCACCTGGTCACTGCCCACCCTCTTTGAGACCCTGTGCAACATCCCTGGGAGGGCAGATGGAGCCACCCGGGGCCCATGGGGGCTCTCTCCCTCCCACATAGGAAAGCGTCCCTAAAGCCCACGGGAAAACCATCCCCAGCGCTTCCCGGGGAGCAGGGAGCGCTGTCCCGGGAAAGGGCAGCCAGGCTGAGGCTCACCTGCTCCCTGCCCTTGCACTGGAGCAGCCTGGGCAGCCCTGGCAGGCAGGGCCACGGCCAGGAGCAGCAGGAGGAGGAGGCGCAGAGCAAGGGCCATGGTGCCTTGTCCTGTGCCAGTCCTGCTGCTCTTGCTGCCACCACTGTCCCAATGTCAGCACCACGTCTGCCACCGCTGTCCCAATGTCAGCACCACGTCTGCCACCGCTGTCCCAGTGTCAGCACTGCTGCCACCGCCGCTGCTGCCGCAGCAGTTGTGCTCAAGGACTGCCCGCTCGGGCGTTGTGGTGCTGGGCAGCCACGGAGCTCTGGGACCTCTGTGACCTCAGAGCCTGCTGTGACCTCAGCCTGCTGTCACCCCAGAGCCCGCTGTGACCTCATGGCCTTAGCTGTACCCCCAGATTGTACCCCCTTTCTGTACAAATGGACTGCCCTGACTGTAAATGTTTTAAATTGACAAATGGCTGTATTCAAGGGCCATTGCTCAGCAAACCTTTTTTTTTGCCTGGTGATGTTGCTGGTCAAGGTGTGCCCCTGGATATGCTCTTGTTGGCTTTCGTCTTTTCCTGGATATTCTTTTTGACCAGATCCATGCTGAGATATTCTACCGTAATAAACAGAATCACTGAATCACAGAATATGCTGAGTTGGAAGTGCTCCACACGGATCATCAAGTCCAGCTCCTGGCCCTGCACAGTGACACCAGGTGCTTGAGAGTATTGTCCAATTGCTCTTTGAGCTCTCTTAGACTTGGTGCTGCCCTGGTGTGCCTGTTTCAGTGCCCAACCATCCTCTGAATAAAGAGCCTTTTTTCTAATATCCAAGCTAAATCTCCCCTGACACAACTTCAGGTTATTCCCTATCACTGGAGACAACAGAAGGAGATCAGTTCTTGCCTCTCCTCTTCCCATGCTGATGAAGTTGGAGACCCCAATCAGGTCTCCCATCAGCCGCCTCAAGGCAGAAGAGACAGAGTCCTCTGCTGCTCTTCACACAGCTTCCCCTTAGAGCCTTCACCATCTTCACTGCCGTCCTTTGAATATTCTTTTTTATATTGCAGTGACCAAAACTTCAGACAATATTTGATGTGAGGCTGCCCCAGTGCAGAGCACCGAGGGACAATCTCCTCCCTGGTCCAAGTGGCCATGCTGGGCATGGTGCCCCCCAGAACAGGGATGTCCCCCATGGCTGCCAGGACACTGCTGACCCATTTCCCACTTTCCACCCACCAGGATACCCAGGTCCCTTTGCATGGTGCTGCTCTCCAGCATCTCATCCCCCAGCCTGTCCATATATCCAGGGTTGCACCATCCTAAGTGCACAATCTGGCACTTTCCCTTGTACAGCTTCACTGGGTGGGTGATTGTCCAGCCTTCCAATTTGTCCAGGCCATGCCCTCAGCCCAGGGACGCTCAGCATGGGCTCCCCCAGCCCCTCGAGGCCCTGCCACTGATCACAGCAGTGATCTGACTCCTGCCTGCCCTCTCTGTGCTGGTCCTGCACACAGCTTGCCCTGCTTGCCCAGAGCAGTTGTGACCATTGGGTTAGTTCTGTCTCCATACTGATGGCTTTATACCCAATAGCTTGCAGTTCTTTGGGTCTGGTCATGGAAAGAAAACACTCTGCTCCACTGCTGTTTGCTTTCTTTTCCTGGTCCTTGGCTGCAGGGGCAGGGGAGGGAGGGTCTGCAGGCGCCTGGGGCAGCTGCTCCCTGGCCAGTGCCTGAGGTGATTCCTCGCTGCTGGGGAGGCAGAGCCCTCCAGGGCTGGTGCCCAGCTGGCAGCAAGCAGCACTGCTACTGCTGCTGAGACACCCACTTTGGGCCTCTTCTGGCATTCTGTGCTCTCCTGCTCCTCCTGGCCCAGCTTGAGGCTAGGCTGGCTTAGTGTATGTGGCTGCTGAGGCCAAACTCTTCCTGCTCACCTTGTGGAGCCAAGAGAATCAAAAATTGCTGCATGTGGCTACTGCCTCCCGAGGAGGTTTCTGGTGCAGGCACTGCTGCAGCATCACTCCTGAACAGCCTTCTGGTCTTGTGTTCAGGGGTGGGATCCCACCCCAGGGCTCTGCTCTGACATCAGGGACCCTGGCTCACTCCAGGAACTCTCCTAGGTCTCCTCCCTGAGCTCCATCCCATGGCTCAGCCCCAAGGGCCAGACTGGTATCTCGGAATTTCACAGCCTACCGTTGGTGACTCATAGTCAGAATGCACAGGAAAACTCTAGCTGTGTTTCAAAATACCAGATGCTGTGTTGTTTCCTTCCCACTGCAGATTTTCCATCGCCCCAGCCTCAGCCCCTGGCAGCCTGCCTGGGTGTTCTCCCTGCACCACTTCTGCAATCCCACTCGTCCAGGTCCTCCTGGTTCTGTGGGCAGCTCTTTAGGCCACTGAGGCCCTGTTCCTCCTTTGTTTGGGAGCATGTCCGAGTGAGAGATGATTCAAGGCCTCAGCACCGAGACCTCCAGCAGCAGTGGTCAGTTTCTGAGTGCACTCAGTGGCCACAGGCAGTTGCCCACAGCTCTGGCAGGGATGTGGAAGGGAGACTGTGCAGGCAAGCAGCCCCCATGCCCCAGCCCTGCAGCCCATGGGTGTGGAGCAGCAGGTCCTGGCATGACAGAGCCAGCAGCTGGGACAGCAGCTGGGCAGTGCAGCACACATTGCACACATCTACTGCAGGGATATCATTGCAATATTGTGTGTACATACACTCCAAATTGAAAAAAATCAGGCAAAGTATAGCTTCATTTCAGAGGCATTGGGGAAGAATTATTACCACTGCTTTCCTGGCTGATTTTTGGAATATTATACTTTTTTTAATACTTTATAAAAATAATCTCTGAGTCTGGACAGGGAGTTTTTCAATCACAAGAGTTCTTGCTTTACTCCAGGAAAAGCATAATTCAGTGTACCAGGGAGATTTTCTCTTAACACATTGCTGAGTTATCATGCTGCCACTCATTAGTAGAGATAAAATAATTTCTCACTGTTTATGTTTGATTTTTGTTTGGAAACAGTAGGAAAAAAAATGTACCCACTGTGGAGATTTGGTTCATGTGGGTGAGTTACTTTTTCAGCTGCGTAAGTTGAGGGAGGAGTTCACAGAGTTTTTCCCAGGCAGAATCTGGTGCTGATGCTTGTGCCATTGGGGTCTGGAGTGGGCTCTTTCCTAGCACAACTCACCATGCAGAGCTGCTGGGCATATCTGGTTTGTTTTCTGGTTTTTACTGACTAAGAGAAGCCAGGCATCATTTAAAAGTACCTAAAACAGATCAGTTGGTTCCTCTGAATCAACTCAAACTGTGGGTGTTCAGCCTGGAGAAAAGGAGGATCAGGGGGAGCCTCGTGGCTCTCCACAAGTCCCTGACAGGAGGGTGGAGCCAGGTGGGGCTCTGCTCCCAGGGAGCAGGGACAGGACATGAGGAAACGGTCTCAACTTGCACCAGTGGAGGTTTCGATTGGACATTAGGAAACATTTCTTCTTGGAAAAGGTTGTAAAGGATTGGAACAGGTTCCCCAGGGCAGTGGTGGAATCACCATCCCTGGAAGTGCTCAAAAGACATCTTGATGTGTGATTTGGGATGTGGTTTAGGGGTGAACATAGTGATGGTGGTGGTTGATGGTTGGAGTTGATTATTGTAAAGGTCTTTCCCAATTTTAAGGATTCTGTGATTCCACAATTCTAAACAACCCAGTGATAACATATCCTAATCTCTCTGGGTGAAAATGACTCGGTTCACTCTCTGATGTTTTCTCCACATCCATCCTCCAATGCATCTTCCAGCACATGGAAGGAATAAACCAGGTATGAAGACTGGAGAAGGAAAATGAGCCCACATCACTTTCTTTGGGAAGGGAACAGAAAATTCTGCAACTTTTACAAAAGAGAGGAAACAGAAAAAAAGGTTTGAGAAGCTGATGTAGTGGCAGAGGTACCAGGGAGAAGAAATAAGAGGTGAGAGAAATTGTGTCTATGGATTGCAGGGCAGGCAGAGGACACCTGTGACCTGAACAGTTTGGCACCTCCTGGCCATTAGGCAGCTGATCCCAAAAGTTCATCTCTACTCAAAGGACACACACAGCCTTGCTCACCCAGCACAGGTACAGGAACAGGATGAGGAAAATGGGAGGTGAGTGTCATAAACAACCTAAATACTGTTGTGTACTTCCAGCAGTTTTTGCAGCCTGTACTGAGCACCTTGGTCCTGGTTG